TTATTGTAGAGACAAAGTCTCACCAAGTTGCCCAGGCTAGTCTCGAACCCCTGGCCTCAGGCAATCCTCTCGTTCCCAGTAGGACTTGGAGTTTTGTTCTGGCATTTTTACTGTATGATATTAGACAAGTTAATATGAACCAAAATTCATTTTTTTCTCAAATGAAGATTGAACAGTATTAATCTTCACTAAATTTAATGAGATAACTAGAATAAAAATGCCTTGTAAACTGTAAAAAGTACCATGAAAATGGATTAGGCCCCCAGTCCACTTTGGGGTTCTAGGCTGAAATTAATTAAACTCCATCTTGATTGTGTCCTGACTTGGCTATTTCCTGGGCTTCTTTTTAAAGTTTTTCTTTCATTAGGCCTTTTTCAGTTTCCAACTTTTTCTAGCTGCCCAGTCCCTAACCATGAGGCCATCTCGTGAAACTTTGCAACTTCATGACTTTTGCCCCCAATTTCTCTCTAAACTAAGCAGCCAAAAGTAACAGAAAGAGCAGAGGTTATGGACTCCAGCAGATGTGGGTTCCAATCTTGGTTCCATCACTTGCTGACTGTGTGACATTAAGCCAAATTAAGTCTCTTGTAATTTCCTTGTCTGTTTCATAAATGTGAAAAAAAAAAAAAAGAGAAAAAGCAAAAAAAGGGATGGTTGTATTACATGACGGTCATATTAATTTTGTTTTTTTTTTTTTTTTTTTTTTTTTTAGTTGTAGTCTCTCTCTGTCACCCAGGCTGGAGGGCAGTGGTACACTCACGGCCACTGCAGCCTCGACCTGCTGGGCTCAGGCGATTCTTCCACCTCAGCCTTCCAAGTAGTTGGAACTACAGGCAACTGCTACCATGCCTGGCTAATTTTTTAATTTATTGTAGAGATGAGGTCTCGCCAAGTTGCCCAGCCTGGTCTCGAACCCATGAGCTTAGGCAGTCCTCTTACTTCAGCCTCCTAAAGTGCTAGGATTATAGGTGTGAGCCACCTTGCCCTGCATATTGCGTTTTTTTTTTTAAAATGCAAATAGCCTCAGTAAAAAGCCTCAAAATTTGCAGACACTCAGTAAATGTTTGTTGCTTTTCCATTCTTTATGGTAAATTATTTTAAGTTTCCACTGCCTCCCACCCAGGACTTTGCTTTTGCAAGTTTCATTGTCTTCATAATACAGCTATTTGCATTTATAGAATAACCCTGTTTGTTTCTTATTTGTGCCTCTCTCAAGTAGTCTAACCACACTTGGTTTGGAAAAACCTTCCCCCCACCATTGCAGGCTGCTTTTTTGCCCTGGGGGTCTGCGACTAGGCTCATTTAAACCAAAAAGAATGGCGGCGGTTTAACTTTTTCAGTGCGCATTTGGATATAAGAAATTTAATTTAAAATTTAAATGTATTAAGTATGTACTTTTCGACATTTCCCAGTGATTCATGCTGTCTGTAAGTTCACATTAAAGATGAAAATGAGACACAAAGTGCTTTTTGAAATGGAAAACACTCTCCCATTATAAGTTAGTTACTTTGTCCATACTCTTTTTGTCGGTTGGGTTGAAACAATTGTACTTAAGTGGTTCCAGCTGTTAGGCATGTGGTGCTTGGCATTTTCACCCTGGGTTTTTTGTGACACAATTGACATGTTTCTGTCCTAGGGCAGTGGGATGAAAAGCCGTATTGTTTGCTGATTTCCTTGGGGTGAGTGGGTAGACATGGTTCTGTAAAGGGGCATTAAGTTGTGCTCATAACACAGAGAACTGAAGTCTAACTGCTAAATGAACTTTTTCCCAGTGTGAGCTGATATTGTAAGCAAGATTTCAGGACAATATTTACATTGGTCAACATGCTGGACATAGCTGTTTCTCAATGAAGAAGTTTTTGTCTTAACGTAAATTCACCAAGAGTCTCAAGTAGCCAGTACTTGGTTAGTTTTAGTTACCTTCAGACAATAATAGAAAGTATTATTCTTAGCAGCTCTCTCAATAATTTAGTTGGGCTTTCTCAGGAATGTATTCAATCAAGGAGGCTTTTGCAGTGGGATCTGTGTAGCAAGGCACGTGCTGTGGCCATTGGGAGTCAGGGCACCTGAATCAGGCTTTGAGATGCTAATTGCCAAGTTAGATAGGGACATAAAGGAACAAGTGGTAAGCAGGGGTTCACAAGGAAAAATGAGATTTTGCCAAGGACAGGAGCTGAGGGTTTTTGAGGAGGTTTTCAAAAATGGAGAGAATCATAGATGCAAAAGCATGTAGTATTAAGTTTGTGTGTGTGTGTGTGTGTGTGTGTGTGTGTGTGTGTGTGTGTGTGTGTGTGTGTGTAGAATTGTAAGCAATCTAAAAACATTTTTCTGTGGCACATGTCCACTCCAGTCTTTCACTCATCAACTTTCAAATCAAAACTAAAGTCTGGTTCCATACCCCATGTAATGTTTTCACTAGGACAAAGATGGTGAACAGAAGGTGATACTGGGAACTGCTGTGCATCACTTATGTTTAGTCATTGTTTCTTTCTGGACCCAGGGCACTGCATGGGGTGTCTTAAGGCTCTGTAACTTTTTATTAACTTTTTAAAATTGCTAAATGTGCCTTTGTCAGCACCCTCTGCTCATTAATGCAGTCTAATTCGTCCCCTCCACCCCCAACTAACACTCCTGAGCCCTTGGGACGATAGTGGCAGGGGTGGGAAAATCTGAGGAAGGAAGGAATTCAAAGACAACGATGGGCAAAGTTGGAGAATAGAATGGTGGTTACCAGAGGATGGGAAGTGTGGGGTGGGGATAAAGAAAGAGGTTGGTTAATAGGTGCAGATATATTGTTAGATAGAAGGAATTCGTCTACTGTTTGATAGCACAGTGGAGTGACTACAGTTAACAGCAGCATATTGTATGCGTCAAAATAGCTAGATTAGAAATGTTTCTGATACAAAGAAATAATACATGTTTGAGATGATGAATATCCTAATTATCCTGATTTGATCATTGCACATTGTATTGCATGCAGCAAAATATCATAGGTTCCCCAAAATATGTGCAATTATTATGTATCAATAAAAAGTCAGTATTTGCCCCCCCAAAAGAAAAACAAAGATGGAGTCCTACTTGTTTTTGCTTTTGTTGCTTGTGCTTTTGGCGTCATGTCCAGAATACCATTGCCAAAGCCAATGTCAAGGAGCTTTTTCCTTGTGTTTTCTTCTAAGAGTTTTACATTTTCAGGTCTTACATTTAAGTCTTTAACCCATTTAGAGTTAAATTTTGTGAGTGCTATAAATTGGGAGTGCATTTTCTTTTCTTTCCTTTTTGTTTTTTTTTGCATGTGGATATCCAGTTTTCCCAACACAATTTATTGAAGAGACTGTCCTTTTCCTCTTGTGTGTTCTTGGCACTCTTGTTAAATATTAGTTGACCGCCATGCATGAGCTTAGTTTTGAGCTTTTGATTCTGCCATGCATGAGCTTAGTTGTGAGCTTTTGATTCTGTCCCATTGATCTATGTGTCTGTAATAGCTTTGCTAACTAACTTGTTTGCTGTATTCATTTTACAGTGGATACTATATCAAATCATCACATTGTACCCCTTACATTTATGCACTTATTTGTCAATTATATCTCAATAAAACTGGAAAACATAACAGAAACAAAGACAGTGAACCACAGACCCTATTTCCAATAGAGAATACAGCGTTGGCTCATCTGTTAAAGCCACTTGCCCTCTTTGCTGAACTTTGGCGCAATTATATTCATTTTCTATTTTTTTAAGAACCAAACTTTTATTATGAAAATGTTCAAACATTTTTGAAAGTAGAATAATGTAATGAACTCCCATGTGCCTATTACCAGCTTCAAAAAGTACCCATTTTGGGGCTAAACTTACTTCATTTATAACCCTACCTATCCTAATGTCCCCTCCCTAATCCCCGAACTGAATTATTTTTAAGCAAGTCTCAAACATTTCATTATAAATATTCATTGCAAAATTTTATAAGCTATCTCAAAAAAGACTCTAAAAAAAAGTAAAATTATGCTTACTCTTTTAAGAAATGATAACAATGTCTTAATATCATCCAATATTCAAGTAGTTTTGTGAAATGTCCATTTTGCCTTTTTTTTTTCTTTTGAGTTGGAGTCTCTCTGTGTCCCCCAGGCTGGAGTGCAGTGGCACATCAAGTCTCATTGATGCCTCCACCCGATTGGCTCAGGCAAGCCTTAAGTAGCTGGAGCCATAGGCGCAAGCCATCATACCTGGTGTTCTAGAGGAGCTCTACTCCAGGCAGGTTCACACTGGATCCAGACAGGCCAAAGAACAATTGAGGAGCCAGGTTCATAGCAACACTTTAATCCTGGTGGCCAACAACCACATAGGGAAAGGTCTCTGCACTGTTGTCTATCTAGGTCTGTTGTTATGCAGACTTAAACAGTAGGGGCTTGCGGGCCAGATCATGAGCTCATGGTTGCATGTAACAGGTTACATTAGCTTGCTTAATCATAAGGGAGCACTACCTTGTTCCAGCGGGGCCAGGGTCATCAGGGAGTGCTATCTTCTTCTAGCCAGGCAGGAAAGTCTCACTGATTTCATTTTCTTCACACTCCGCCCCTTCAGGGTTTCTCTCCGTGCAATCTATGCGATTTGATTCTTCTGTGAAGGTCCCTGGGTGAGGAGGGAGGAATATTACATCTAAATGCCACAACAACAATACAAGCTGCAACAACTTATAAGCAAAGTGCAGGCAGTACAAAAGAGGACGAGGGTGGTCCTCCGTCCCGTCACTAAAGACGACCACCACTTCTTCAAAGGGTCCAGCAGTGCAAGTGTGGGCCCAGTCTACCAGGGGATTTGTGGCAACCCAACAAAGGGCGGTGAGAGAGAGAGGTTATAGATACCAACATCGGCAAGTACCTTTCCTCCACTAATATACAAATTTAAGTTTTATCCTGTGAGAAGATAGTAGCAGGCACTGCTGATTTCCCTGGTTTAGTACAGCATACCTTTCAGCCTTTGGTGTAATAGTTCGATGTGTAGGAGTCATGGAGAGGTTTGCACTGGCCATAGTGAAAACACAAATGTTCTCTTTAGAATACGAGTGCTTTCACCTCCAAGCAGACAATAGACCTTCACCATTCAGGGCCAAATTTCAAGCCTTTGCTGTGGCCCACATTGACTTGTGTCCGGTGTGCAACCGTCTCTGAAGTAATCAACTGGCAAAGTCTTTCTCTTTGTCTTTTTTGAGTTGGAGTCTCACTCTTGCCCAGGCTACGGTGCAGTGGCACTCTCAGGGCCACTACGGCCTCGACCTGCTGGGCTCAGGCGATCCCTCCACCTCAGCCTTCCAAGTAGCTGCAACTATCGGGACATGCTACCGTGCCTGACTAATTTTTTGATTGATTGTAGAGACGAGGTCTCACCAAGATGTCCAAGCTGGTCTCGAACCCCTGGGCTCAGGCCATCCTGTCTCCTCCATCCTCTCTCCTCGGCCTCCCAAAGTGCTGGGATTGCAGGTGTGAGCCACAGCGCCTGACCTGCTAAAGTCTTTCACAGGAGCAGTGCTCAACCATCTGACTTTAGCCAATGCATCAGCTCCATCATTTCTAAGATATGTTAGAGGTGCATGTCCGATGACGTGATAAACTGTAATGTCCTTTAGATGGCCTAATTTCTGCAATTCCTGCCACATTGCTTGACCCCACAAGGGCCGATACAATACAGTTCATTTTTTCTCCCACCATGAAGTGATCTATAAAGCGAGTCCTCTGTATACAGTCCAACTGTCTGTACATATGATTGGGAAATTGGCTTATTCTTTATCACAAGCCATACAGCTCATCACTCTGCCCACTGGCTGCTATGGTGGGCTCTGGTTTCCTGCCAGATGGTCTCCGTTGCTGCCTGGAAAGCTACCGCAGTCCACCGTATTGGATTTCTTTGACTAGAGCCATCTATCTGTATGCCATGGTATAAGTGGGCTCCCTTCCTTGTAGGGGCTAGGCATTGGCTCTGTGAGAGATGTTACTGCCACCAACTTGGTAGTGGCGTAAGTCACAGCTTCCAAAATGTGCTGCAGCTCAGCTTTTAAAGGGTCTGCACTCAATGAGCTTCACTGTTGCAAGCTTGCCCCCATTTAGCCAATGTGGGAATCTGTGCATTCTCACAGTGGGTTTTCTCAATCCAGTCCCATACCCATCCGCAATTGAGTGTGAAGTTCGGACTGTCACCAGGGCTTGTTCCAGGGATGGGCTTGATTTCTCACCGGGTGTTATAAACGGCTGCCAGGTGCTTTTCTATTAAAGTAATATGCCTCAGTCCCTTTCCATAGCTGAGCCCAAAATCCACTTGGCTGCCGTAGTCTTTCACTTTTTTGCCGTAACCCTGAACCTTGTCCTTCATTAGTGATGTGGACATCTAGTTCACCGGTTGGGCAGGTTATATGCCGTTAAAGCTTGCACTCTGGTGATCATCCGTTTAGCCGCCATGAAAGTCCTTGTCTCTATATTCCACCATTCCCACCTGGCACTCTTTATTCCAAAAGGTATAAAGGTTTCGGAATTTGTGCCAAGTGCGGTATAAAAGCTCTCCAGTACCCTTACACTCCTAAAATTTCCCATAGGGCTTTAATTGTAGTAGGAGAAGGGAAAGCCTGTACCTAAGAATAGCCTCAGGTATCACCTTTGTCTTATCCGATCAAACAACCCCCAAGAATTTGACTGATAAACCAGGCCCTTGGATTTTCTAGGCGGTTGACTTCCCAGCTACATATCTTTAAATGTTGTAATAAACACAGAGCAGCTTGCCCTAAATCTGGAAGAGAGTCAGAGGTTAATATAATCTCATCGATATGATGAAACAACTTCACGGATTTGGGGAGTTTCCAAATGACTAAATCCTTGGCAACAAGCCCATGACGTACATAGTAGGGCTATGCAAGTATCCTTGTGACAAAACTGTAAATGTCCATTGGTGGCCTTCCCATGTGAAGGTGAAAGTTCCTGGCTTTTAGGAGCAACATCTACAGAAAAGAAGGCATAGCCACATCCACTACATAATGCTATGTCCCTAGTTCACGGGCTAGGTGGTCCAACAAGTCAGCGATGGAGGGCACCGTGGTATGCATGGAAGAGTCACCTTACTGAGTTCCTTATAATCATACACCAGGTACCATCCGGTTTTCTGATAGGCCATACAGGAGAGTTATATGGACCATGCACAAGGTCTTATAATACCCACTTTCTCCAGCTCTCTTATAGTGGCCGTAATTTCTTCCTGACCTCCTGGAAGGCGGTATTGTTTAGTATTAATGACCTGTTTAGTATTAGTGACCCGTGTAGGGGGTGGTAAGACTACAGGGCGTTTGGCATGTCCTCTTATTATTGCCTTAACAGCATGACTCTCATCCTGAATTCTCCAGCAGTAGTTTTTTTTAAATTATGGATACCTTTATTTATTTATTTTTTTGAGTCAGAGTCTTACTCTGTCACCCAGGCTGGAGTGTAGTGGCACACTTACAGCCATTGCAGCCTTGACCTGCTGGGCTCAGGTGATCCTTCCGCTTCAGCCTTCCCAGTAACTGGAATTACAGGCGTGTGCCACCATGCCCAGCTAATTTTTTTGATTTATTGTAGAGATAAGATCTTGCCATGTTGCCCAGGCTTGTCTTGAACCTGTGGGCTCAGGCAGTCTTCTTGCCTCAGCCTCCCAAAGTGCTGGGATTACAGGCATGAGCCACTGTGCCCAGCTTCTATAGGAAATTTCTGCCTGAGGTTACTTTCCAACATTTAGAATTCATTTTTAACCGTAAATCCTGCAGGACATCTATTCCCAGGATATATTCTGATGTAAGGGACACATATACAGTATATTCTCTTGAGAATAGTCTCCTTATTCCTAAAAGGCACTTGTACTACTTTGAGCTGGATAGTTTTACCACCTCAGAGGCGGTCCCTTGAATTTCTCTGTGTTTCCATATAAGAGGGTACATTCAGCACCAGTATCTACTAAGGCCAGTATGCTTTGTATCTGCGACTCCCTTACTATCAGAGATTAGTCTCTTCCTGGAGGGCAATCAGAAACATCCACCCTGGGCCTCCGGCAGCTGCTCTCCCTGTTTCTCAAACATTTCTCCCAAGCTATGCAAAGTCTTTTGCACTCTAAGGGTGCATTATGTACTTCAGCTCATTCCTGAGGTTGGTGTCCAGGCAGGTAACATCACAGCCACAAGATACCACATACTAATGGCTGGCCATCTGGAAATTCCCCCATCCCCTGGGGCAGCAGGATCCATATCAACCTGAAATGAATCCTGCCGACTCCAGCGAGCGTTCTGGAGGAGCTCTACTCCAGGCAGGTTCACACTGGATCCAGACAGGCCAAAGAACAATTGAGGAGACAGGTTCATAGCGACACTTTAATCATGACGGCCAGTGACTATGTTGGGAAAGGTCTCCACCCTGTGGTCTTTCTAGGTCTGTTTTTATACAGACTTATAAAGTGAGGGCTTGCAGCCAGATCATGAGCTCATGGTTGCGTTTAACAGGTTACGTTAGCTTGCTTAGTCTGAGGGAGTGCTATCTTGTTCCGACTGCGCCGGGGCCATAAGGGAGTGCTGTCTCGTTCCGACTGCGCCAGGGCCATAAGGGAGTGCTGTCTCGTCCTGGCTAGGTGAGAAAGCCTGACTGACTTCTAGCTAATTTTCTGATTTACTGTGGAGATGATATCTCACCAGATTACCTCAGCTGGTCTCGAACCCCTGGGCTCAGGCAGTCCTCTTGCATCCACCTCACAAATTGCTGGGATTACAGGGGTGAGCCACTGCCCCTGGCCCTAGTTTGCTTTTCAGTTTGGTTTTAATCAGTGTGGTTAAATCAGGGCCCAGACAAAGCCCATGCATTGCCCTTGATGGATACGACTTTTTAAATCAACAGGCCTCCCCTCCTCGCTAACCCCTTTTCCCTTGAAATTTATTTATTACAGAAACTGTCCTTTAGAGCGTCCCATAATCTGGATTTGCTGCTTGCATCCCCATAGTGTCATTTACCATGTTCTTCTGTCTGTGTATTTCCTGCAAATTGGTAGTCAGATCTGGAGACTTGGTCAGGATTCCAGTCATCAATTCTCACTTAACTGGGAAGGAACCCAGTAGGAGGCAGAGATAGAAATCTGGTGCAGGGAGGTGAGGGAAGGGAGAAAGAGAGGCGAGAGGAAGGAGTCTACACTGGCGAGAGTCTACACTGGGATTGGGGAGAAGGATTTCTGAGAAGGTGCTACTTCAACTGAGGTGGGAGGTAAAAAGAAGACGGAACCCAGGCTGACTCCCAGGCTTTCTGGCTTCAGCAACTGGGCAAGTGTCAGTCAGGGCCCTGGTCTGGACAGCTTATCTGGTGGTTGCTTCCAGTCCTGTCCCCTCGGGCGTTGTGTCTGGGTCTGTGCCTTCCAAGTGCCTTTTCCTTCCCTTTGTGCTCCCTGCCCACCTGCTGTCAAGTTGCTCAATGGCACTTGGAAAAGTTGGAGACAAGAAACAAGGCTGGTAGGAGCATCATGTGCTTGACAGACTTTGCAAAATGAGACTTGCACCCAAACGTAGGGGAATATTTTTCAAGTTTGCTATCAGTTGGCATCTCTGAAAAGAAAAGTTTACCGGGGAGAAATTTTTTTGTGTCTTGAGTCAGGGTCTACTCTATTGTCCAGACTGGAGTATAGTAGCACCCAGCCTGGGCGAAGTTTAAAGCTAAAGACTCCAGGCTCGGCATAGTGGCTCATGCCTGTAATCCCAGCACTTTGGGAGGCAGAGGCAAGAAGATTGCCTGAGCCCAGGAGTTTGATATCAGCCTGGACAACTTGGTGAGACCGCATTTCTACAATTAAAAAAAAATAGCCAGGTATGGTGGCGCACGCCTGTAGTTCCAGCTACTGGGAAGCCTGAGGCAGAAGGATCACCCAAGTCCAGCAGGAAAGGCTGAGGTAGCTGTGATCGTGCCACTACACTCCAGCCTGGGTGACAGAGTGATTCTGACTCAAAAAAATAATTATAATAAAATAAAGCTAAGACTTTAATGAGACGTCTGCTGTTCTGAATGTTACATTAGTCTTCGAAGTCATTTTTATTCATTATCACAGACGATTAAGCTGAATGTGGAGTAAAACTGGCAGAAAAATAGTTTTCCAGTGAGAATAGTAATGACGGTTATATGATCTTTGTTCAAAGCATCTGCAGTGTTTCGTAATACTTGTCTGAAACCCTGATTCCTAATGCATTCCTTGTGAACACAGAATATATCTGTGTCCAGATTCCAATTTATAAATGACACTAGGAGTGTTTTCAAAATTGTTGGACTGATTTGCATTTCTCTGGAACACAGCTTTTGAGAACTAAGTTGTCTGTATGTGGCCTCCGGGTGACCACTTCTCACCAGCAGCTGGTCGCTGCCAACTTCTGGCGGCTTGAGAAAGTGAGCTGTTTCCCACGCTCCCACTCTGGGAATGTTTGGATCCCTGGGAAGGGGGGACCACAGACCAGCTGGGTGACGCTTCTCGTCTGACTCCCTTCCCTGCACCCTGTCGGTACCTCCTAGGAAAATCTTGCTGGTCCAGGTGATGGTGACAAATATGTCACCTACAGAGTTAACAACTCAGGAAGTTTGGTTAAAAGAGAGGGTTTTATTAAAACCCAAGGATTGAGGGTTCCTTGAAGGCAGGAACTGGATCGTACCCATTTTTGCACTTGGCACAGTCTTGGAGGGGAATGGTCACTCCGTTTGTGGAATAAACGCATTAAGCCTTGAAAAATGACTTCTGTGTTCTTCCACCAACCCATCTGGCCAGGAAAAGCATCGAATTCCCAAAGCTCTGGTTCCTTTCCTTATCTGGGGCCAAATCAACTCTGCACGTAGAAACTTTTAACCAGGTTTTTGGCATGTTGCAAGTGGTTGGTCTAAAATTCCTCTTTTTCCATCCCTGCTTCCTCCCTTCCTCCACCTCTAGTAATGAGGTGTGAAAGGACTGTAGGATAAGACTGGAAGGAGGAGGAGGAGGAAGAGGAGGAGGAAGGAAATAAGAGGTCTGGAAAATCCACTGGCTTTCTAATCAACTCCTGAACAACTGAGAATTGCTATTTTAGATCCGTGTTTTTCTAATCTGCAGCCCTTAAAGAACAAATAAGGTACCATTTACGAAATCTCTCCTGTTTGATTAGGGACTTTTTTCTTTCCTTTTCTTTTTTTTAGAGAGGGGGTCCTACTCTGTCACCCAGGGTGGAGTGGAGTGACACTATCCATAGCTCACTGCTGCCTCAGCCTTCTGGGCTCAAGGGATCCTCCCGCCTTCGCCTTCCAAGTAGCTAGGACTATAGGCACGCCCCATCACACTTGGCTAATTTTTAAACCTTTTATAGAGATGAGGAGGTCTCGCTATGTTGTCCAGGCTGCCTTCAAACTCCTGATCTCAAGCTACCCTCCCACCACACTCCCACAGTGGTGAGATTATAGGCCTGAGCTGCTGCACTGGGTCTTGATTAAGGATTTTTTCTTTTAGTTCACAGATTCTCTAAGTACTTATAAAATGATTGCTGAGATTATCTCCTGTCAGTGGCTTGTTCACTAACAAGAAGGTAAAGGGGTATCAAATCAAACCTCCTTGGCTATCCAGAGGATTCCCCCCCTGCCCATGGGACTGTTTGCCACAATATCTCAGTGACTTTTCCAAGGAATGTGGGTTTTCTCTGAGTGAGAACGGTACAACCGTGATATCTTTTTATAGGCAATTATAACTAATTTCAAGAAGGCTCCACATTGAGTGATTCAAAGAGCCAGTTTTGCAGTCAGGCTCCCTGGGCTGCCACTTATTACCTGGTGACATGGTACGCATTGATTAATTTACCGAATTTTCCCCATCAGGAAAATATGTATATTAGTAGTACCTAGTTTTATAGAGTTGATCCGAAAATTGTATGTTAGTGAGATGCCTGGGACATGGTAAACAATCAATAAATTTTAACTATTATCCTAACATATTAAACAACACAAAATAATTTGTGGTATTATAATATCCCATTCAGATTTACTTTTTTTTTTTTCGGGGGTCTCACTCTGATGCCTAGGCTGGAGTGCAGTGGCACCACCCATAGCTCACTGCAGCCACAGAGTTCTGGGCTCAGGCAATCCTTCAGCTTCAGCTTCCGGAGTAGCTGGGACTACAAGTGTGTGCCACCACATCCGACTAATTTTTAAAATTTTTTGTATAGACGAGGTCTTGCTATATTGCCCAGGCTGATCTCGAACTCCTGGGCTCAAGCAATTCTCCCACCTCAGCCTTCCAAAGTGCTGGGTGTGAGCCACTGTGTCAGATTTACTTCTTGACACCTCAATGTGTTATCTGCTTGTATCATTCCTTCTCCTCCTCCTGGACTGTGGGTTCCTTGAAGACAGGAACTGGATCCTACCCATTTTTGTACCCACAAAGTTTGGCACAGTTTTGGTAGGGAGTGACTACTGTTTATGGAGTAAATTCATTACAGCTTGAAAAATGACTTCTGTGCTCCCTTCATCGGCCCATCTTGCCTGGAAAAAGAATGCTGGGGTTTGCAATTCAGGCTTACATCTTGCTCAGACTCTGTTGTATTTTACATGGTGCTGGTACCTGAGAGAGTGTTCTAGGAGAGACCTCTAAGTCGTCTCCTACCTCACCCCACTCAGCCCTCCTTCCCCAGGAAGAAGTCATTTCCACATTCCTTTTAACCACACTTCTTTTTTTACAGGTCACTACAAATGGCATCATTGCCATGAGTGAACCCCCGGACCAAGAATCCCACCCCGGGCGCTTTCCACCAACCTTCGGCACAGTGGCTCCTTTCCTGGCGGACTTGGACACAACCGATGACCTTGGGAAGGTTTACTATCGAGAAGACTTATCCCCGTCCATCATGCAGCTGGCAGCAGAGTGTGTCCAGAGAGGGTTCCCGGAGATCTCTTTCCAGCCCATTAGTGTCGTGGTTGTCACTTGGGACTCTGTGGCCCCCTACCAAGGGCCCAGCAGGGACCCTGACCAGGAAGGCAAGGTAAGTGTTTCCCCAGGTACAGGTGCAAATTAGTCTGACACATAGGCTTGATAATTGTCTGTTTTCTGGCTTATGCTCTCTGATGCACATCCTGCCTATTACTGATTTAAAAAAAAAAAAGACAGGATATCCAAAACAAAATCTAGTAGGCCGGTTGTTGCAGGTCTGAAATTCCAAAAGCTTATTGGCAAGGGCTACATAAACCTCTGTTTCATTGATGATGAGATATAAAGAAAGCCAGTGCCCAAGAAGACTGCGACATGGCAAGAACAGGACTGAAAAATGGACTTCCCTGGCTGTTCTTGCTTCAGAGGACAGATAGTGGAAGGATAGTTTCTAATTGGAGAAATTATTCATATAAAATGATAAGTAAAAATAACAAAGTACCTCTGAGAGATGTGAAGAAATAAAGATGAGGCCCAGACTCCAACTGAGGAGACAAGAACCGATGGGACCCCATGAGTGACTCAGAACCCAAGTCTTATCATAACCCAAGGGTGACATCTCTGTGGACACAGAGGAAAGGCTTGAAGCACCGGGCGGTAGAGCCTTGAAGGAAGGAGGGTATTTGAGTAAATCGAGAAGCCATCGATAGACCTGAAGTGATTATTTTAGGTACGGCCTCAGCTTCTTTTCGGAAAAATAATTTCTCTCTACCATTACTTAATTTTTATAGGCTAATGGGGTAGAGAGAAACTTGAAAGGTCTCAAAGCACTCCATAGGAATGGGGATGTCCCAGGCTAGTAGTTTCCAAAATGTGTACCACAGAACACTAGTCCTACAAGATAGTGCTTGAGGAAAAGGGCGCCCTGGCCAAATTAGTTTGGGAAAGACTAAAACTGTTTCCCCCTCTTGATGACTCTCTCTGAAAAGTCCTGCAGTGAAGAAACTTGACATATATGCATACACATATACACATGTATACTGTGTGTGTGTGTGTGTGTGTGTGTGTGTGTGTGTGTGTGTGTGTGTGTGTGTGGTTTTTTGGGGGGAGGGGGGAAGAAAGTGCCTTTATTCAAAAAAAACCAGAAGATGGGGAAATAGCCAGGCTCATGCCTCCAAGAAACTATTTCAGATTTTTCAGGTTGAGTGCAAGGGTTTAAAAAGGGAGACTTGGTATGAGAAACATATGGGAGTGCTCAGGGTGCAGGTGTCTTGCTCTGATGGCTTATCTTGGGTGGTGTTCCTCCTGGAAGTCTCAGCAGCAGTCAGGCTATGGATGAACTGTCTAGTGACTCCCCCCGCGGGAGGGTCCCGCAGTCATGCTGCCTTGAGATTAGTCCCTGGAATTTTTACATCTGCCTGTTTATTATAGAGGATCTCACAAATGGTACAGATGAAGAGAGGCGTAGGGTGAGGTCTCGGGAAGGGGTGTGGGGCTGCCATGCCCTCCCTGGGCGTGCCACCCTCCAGGAACCTTCAGGTGTTCGGCTATCTGGAAGCTCAAAAACCTGCTAATATTGTTTAATGGAGTTATTCCCAAACCTGTGGCCATACCTCTTCCCCACCCCCGCCACAGGGCACATTACATTTCACAGAACACACTTGGGACAAGTCTGTTAGAGGCCTGCATGACGCATTTTGCTTGCCAGCTGTTATCTTTCTGAGTGCCACACTTGAAAACTGCTTCAGTCTTACATTTCTCAAGTGCCTCCCTCCCTTTCCCTTGTGTAATAAACGCCCAACTCCTTGGTGCTGAGCCCTGGCCTCCTTGTGGGCCTAATCTGTGACCCTCTGCACACCCTTGCAGCAGCTGTACCAAATTTCTTGAAGTTCCCTGGTCACGCCTTTGTCTTGCCTGCAGTGTCTTGTATAGTCTATCCTCTCTGCTTGGGACGCCTCTCCCTGACACCTTACTGGTGGCAGACTCCTGCTTCTTCATTTAGACTGGGCCCTCCTGTGAGGCTTTGACAAGCCACAGTCTCCTCTGCTCCCATGCCTGCTCGTGTTGGACACTTCCTCCCACGGCTCCTGCAGGCTTTGCAAGTAACTCTGCTATAGAATCCATCCCCAGGTTTTGCAGCGTTATGTTCAAATGTCAGTCTTCCCATACAGATTGTAAGTTCTCAAGTTACAGGGACTGGGCATCTTCATATCTGCCAAGCTCAGGGCACCGCCTGACAATAGGAAAGGCAGGAACGTTTGAGGAATACGTTCTCTGTGTGCCTGGCCCTTCATATGTCGTCTCAGGTAGTTTTCTCCATTTCACAGATGCAAACAGCATCCAGGCTTAGGGGGCCTAAGGTCACGCCCAAGGTCACACAGTCAGTCATAAAGAGAGTAAAGATTTGGATCTGGGTCTGTTTACTCCCAAAACTCTTTTTTTCCCCTTCTACTGTATGGTACTTGGGCTCAATAAATATTTGTTAAATTATGAATGTGCGTAATAGCCATGGAAACAAATTCTGTGTTAAGATTTTCCTAAGTTGCATGAGAGTTAGGTCACCATCTAGAGGTACCATCAGCATAACTTTTGGTTACCTTCAGGGTCACAGTTCTGCAGAAGGTAGTTATTCACTGATCAGAAATTTCATGTTAACATAGCTGTGGGGTTATTTCAGTGGAGCTCTCTAGGAATAATGATACTTGCTCCTTGCTACATAAGTACTTCTTTTAGAATAAGGTGAGAATATTGCCATCTCTGTATAGTCCTATACTTTTTAAAATATAAAGTCTGGTGAATAACACATTTTAAGATCTGTAGATATTTTCCTGAGTAACTGAATTTTAACTCATCTTCACAGAGAAACACATTCCAGGCTGTTCTGGCCTCCTCTGATTCCAGCACCTATGCAATCTTCCTTTATCCTGAAGATGGTCTGCAGTTCTACACGACATTCTCAAAGAAGGATAAGAACCAAGTTCCTGCTATGGTTGCATTCAGCCAAGGTTTAGTGGGATTGGTATGGAAGAGTGATGGAGCGTATAATATCTTCGCTAATGACCAAGAATCCATTGAAAATTTGGCAAAGTATGCTTTTTTTGTTCTTCAGTAAAGTCTTCTCATATTGTTATTATTTTACTAAGGATAATGTAATAGGCATTATAGACCATTACCTAAAAATATTACTATGGATTTAAGTTTTGTGGTTTTTTGTTTGTTTGTTTTTTTGAGTTGGAGTCTCACTCTGTCACCCAGACTGGAGTGCAGTGGCCGCTCCTGGCCACCGCAGCCTCGACCTGCTGGGCTCCGGCGATCCTTCCGCCTCAGCCTTCCGAGTAGCCGGAATTACAGGCACACGCTACCACGCCCGGCTGATTTTTTAATTTATTGTAGAGATGAGGTCTCGCTGCCCAGGCGGGTCTCGAACCCACAGGCTCAGGCAATCCACTCACCTCAGCCTCCCAAAGGCGTGGGATTACAGGCTGAGCCACCGAGCAAGGCTGGATTTAAGTTTTATATATAGTTTTTAGATTATGATTTTTTTTTTTCTGGTGAGCTTAACGGAATCTACTTTTCTTTCTTTTTTTTTGAGTCAGGGTCTCACTCTGTTGCCCAGGCTGGAGTGCCTGGCATGATCATGATGGTCATGGCTCACAGCAGCCTCAACCTCCTGGGCGCAGGCAGTCCTTCCACCCCAGCATCCGAGTAGCTGGGACAGGCACATGCCACCATTCTCAGCTACATTTTAAAAAATGTTTTTGTAGAGATGAGGTTTCGCTATGTTGTCCAGGCTGGTCGTGAACTCTTTGGCTCAAACAGTCCGCCTGCCTTAGCCTCCCAAAGTGCTGGGGGTTACAGGCATGAGCTACTTACTACACCTCACCAAGGAAATATACTTTAAAGATGAACGGGTATCCTATTTTCTTGATATCACCCTCATTTAAAAGTTTCTACCATTTTCTTTATAAGTACAAAGTTAGAACAAAATATTATTAGTACAAAGAAAAGTTATTCAAGCCTTTCTCCTGCTGGGAACCCAAGGCTTAGAACCTCCCACCATCTACGCATTGACTACACATTGAGGGAATAGTCTCACAACAGAAGTAGTATTCTCAAGACCATTTTGTAAAAAGTTCAGACTGGTTTTTGAAAATTAAAATCTTTTCTCTCCCATTATTCTTTAAAAAACAGAGTGTGCCCTCAACTCTTTTAATTAAAAAAAAAAAAAAAAAATCTAGCCGGGCTAGGTGGCTCAGCCTGTAATCCTGTGCTTTGGGAGGCTGAGGTGAGTGGTTTGCCTGAGCCTGCAGGTTCGAGACCCACCCAGGCAACTTGGCAAGACCTCATCTCTACAATTAAAAAAAAAAAAAAGATCTAGCCTAAAATTTCTGTGCATTCTGCTTAGTGGTGTGCTGGTAAATGTTTAACAGCTGGTTTTATGAGGCCAGAGGAAGCCATGATTTATAGCATTTGCCTATTTCTGTGGTGTAAACATTCCCTACATGACCAATTTCAGGCTACTAAAGTCATGTCATTCATTGAAGAGTAGAGAAAATATGCATCATTTTATATATATTCTCACCATAAAGATACAATAGACGTAAATAACTTCAAGAACATAGATACTAGTAAAAGAATTTGGATATGACAAATTTCAAGTATTTCTTGCCTTTTAAAAATATAGTATTTAGGGCAACCCCTTCAGGTCCCCTCCCACTGTGGGAGCTTTTCTGTCCTCTCAATATATCCTGCTTTTAAAAAAACCATTTAATTGTAAGTTTATATAATTTAATTTTTTACAATGATTGTGTTTAATAACTGGCTTGCAAAATTTCTAAAAATTTAACCACTGGCTCTCACGAGCTGATAGACGTAAACTCCTACACACCCCTGCCTTTACTTGATTCCCGGGCAGACAGATTGACTAGACATCCCATTTTTGCAGGACTTTCTTGATTTCTCACCCTCATCCCACCCCAGTTTTTTGCTCAATGTATTCCACTGAGCAATGTATGTCCCCCTTTTCCATTGTATAATCTGATCATTTTATATAATTTCTGATTGGAGCACTGACAGTCACAAACACATAATAATAATAAAAATAGTGGAGGAAGAAGCAGAGCTTCAAGTTAGACTCCTGTTTTTTATAACTATAAAATGCTTTTGGATTTTGTATTGCATTTACTTTTCACCACACCCTTTGAGCACACAAAGGTAAAAAGGTAAACTGAGACCTGTCTAAGATCCCACAGCTGATGGAGTTGCGATTTCTAATAGACCACGTCTGCACTGTTTTCACTCAAAACACTTCTGGCACCAAATGTGTGCGGAAGTTTTTCCTCCACCCCTAGCAATTCTCTGTACCAGTCTGCTCATTAGCATACAAAAGATACCCTTGGCTGGGCTTGGTGGCTCACGCCTATAATCCCAGCGCTTTGGGAGGCTGCAGTGAGAGAATTACCTGAGCCCACGGGTTCAAGACCAGCCTGGGTAACTTGGTGAGACCTCATTTCTACAATAAATTAAAAAAAAAAAAATTAGCCAGTTGTGGTGGCGTGCACCTGTAGTTCCAGCTACTTGGAATGCTGAGGTGGAAGGATCGCCTTAGCCCAGCAGGTCGAGGCTGCAGTGCCTGTGAGTGTGCCACTGCACTCCAGCCTGGGTGACAGTGAGACTCCAACTCAAAAAAATAAAATAAAAAGAAAAGAAACCCTTATTATTCCAAGGGTTTTAGGAGTTCCTGTGTCAGGACCCAGGGACAAAGACCAAATGCTTATTTTCGATTATATCACACCATACCATGGAAAGAGATAATGGAGAACATGAACAACTTTGGTCATAGTGCTGCCTTCAGTCATACGCAGTCTGACAATTAGGTTCATGAATTCATACTAGAAAAAGTGCTACATACCTCATTGCTGAATATCACTCCGGCCACCTTCGAAGTCCTCCTCTTGGGAAGCTGTGCACCAACACCAGCACCTAGTACACCCATCAAAGCCGTTTTGAAACTCTTTTTCTGGAATGACCATCAGAGATGTCACAAGAATGTTGGAGTTTGAATTAGAGCAACAAACAAATATTAAATTTCTTGTTAAACTTATCAAGAGTGGAAGTGAAATCAGAGAGATGGTAGTCTAGGTTTATGGGTATAATGCCATGAAGAAAACAGCAGTATACAAATGGATTAAATATTTTTCTGAGGGGACAGAATGCATCACTGATAAAGAGTGGTCAGGGCAGCCAGGAACAAGCAGAACTGATGAAAACATTGCAAAAATTCATCGAACTGTGTGTCAAAATTGTTGACTGACTATAAGAAGCACAGCAGATCAAATAAACATCGATAGAGAAAGTTAGGAAAATTTTTTTTTTAAGTGCGAAAGCAGAATTTATTGAGAGGACAGAAAAGCTCCCACAGTGGGAGGGGACCCGAGGGGCTGTCCAGGAAAATCTTAAATGGAAATCTTGGCATGAGAAAGGTGTGTGCAAAAATGGTCCTGTAGGAGCTCTTACATTAAGACAATGCACCAGCTCACACAGCACTGTCTGTGAGGGAGTTTTTAGCCAGTAAACAAATAACTGTATTGGAGCACCCTCCTTACTCACCTGATCTGGCCCCAGTGACTTTTTTCTTTAACGGATGATAAAATATTGAAAGGAAGACATTTTGATGACATTCAGGACATCAAGGGTAATACGATGACAGCTCTGATGACCATTCCATTAAAAAGATCCAAAATTGCTTTGACGGGTGGATGAGGTGCTGGCGTCAGCGCATATCTTCCCAAGGGGTGGTTCTTCAAAGATGACTGGAGTGATATTCAGCAATGAGGTATGTAGCACTTTCTCTAGGATGAGTTTGTGAACCAGTTTGTCAGCCCTGTATGCCCATAAGGTAAGGCACATAACCAGCATGAGCGAGTTGAATTTTAAATCCAGACAGATGTCCCTGGAGCACACCTCTGCAATGGCTGAGGGTGAGCCTGTGTTTTGTGCCTGTTTGGACACAGCCTCACCAAACATCCCTGGGCTGTCTCAACCCTTAGTTGACCAGACATGCTGCCACTGCTCTAACACTCCAGTTCCTGCTGCACAGGAAGCAGGGGATGGGTTTCAGACTAACATGCATCCTCAGGACGGTGTCTGCTTGGTTAGAGGAGGCTGTTTGTGGGTTGCCAGCCTGTTTCCAAAGAGCCTGTCTTTTTCCCTAGGAGCAGCAACTCCGGGCAGCAGGGCGTCTGGGTGTTTGAGGTCGGGAGCCAGGCCACAGCCAGTGGTGTGGTGCCTGCGGATGTGAGCCTCGGGCCTGACGACGGAGCTGAGTATGAGGATGAAGAGCTTGAAGACTATGACCTGGTGACTACTCGTCTGGGCCTAGAGGATGTGGGTACCACATCCTTCCCCTATGAAGCTCGGAGAAGGGGAGATGCTGACACGTACAATGTGCCCAGTGTCCACTCCCCACGCCGGGCAGCCACCGAGAGAATCCCTGCACCTCCCACAGAGAGGACCAGATCTTTCCAGTTGCCAGTGGAGAGGTTTCCCCAGCAGCACCCACAGGTCATAGATGTGGACGAAGTTGAAGAAACAGGAGTCGGTGAGACCTAAGTGGCAGTTGGTATTGTTCTTGGATGCTTGGGTTTCCGGACAGGAGTGCCGATGGGGATGTCAGTTGTGTGTATTATGTGATGGTTTGTAAGGATAAGAGCTTGGGAAGATAGAGGCCAAACGCTCACAGCCAGAGAGCATTGATGTCATATGTTCAAAGAGGCCCAGTGATCTTTTGGGGCTTAGGGCTGTGCTTATGGAGACTTTTGAATGTGCCCTCTTTCAAGTTTGCTAGTACACGATTCTGGCTGTTTCAGAGAGAAACGTGCTTTAGAATTGTTTTGAAAGTCAGATTTTCTTATTTGTGACTTCTGAGATCAGAAATGTATTCACCCACCTGAAAAAACATTTAGAAAGTTATTTTGCCTGTTTATGCAGCTTGTCTTTGACATTTATTTCCTCTTGGTTCTGGAATTAGAATGGTTGATATTTTTTTCCTGTCAGGTTCCTGTCAGTTTCAGAGTTGCTTTATGAAGATTAAAAAATACAAAATAAGTAGTTCCCTTTTATAAAAGATAAGTTTACAGCGTAATATCTTCCAGTAGACCATATTATATCAGATTTTTGCTACATTTTGAGGGAAAATAGTTTCAGCCCCAGCAAGTCTTATAAAATATGTTCAAGCCAAATTGTCTTCATTTTCCTTTGTTTGACATGTAATCCATCAAGATTCTCATAAATGGGATGGTCTCAGCCTTTAAAGATGTTTACTATGACCTGTGACTCTTTTTTTCTTTTTGAGTCCGAGTGTCACTGCGTCGCCCAGGCTGGAGTGAAGTGGCACGATCACAGCTACTGCAACTTCAACGTGCTAGACTCAGGTTATCCTTCCGCCTCAACCTTCCAAATAGCTGGGCCTACAGGCACACACTACCAGTCTGGCTAATTTTTTGTTGTAGAGACAAGGTCTTGTCATGTTGTCCAAGCTGGTGTCGAACTCTTGGGCTCAGGCAATCCTCTCTCCTCGGTCTCCCAAAGTGCTGGAATTTTAGGAATGAATCACCACACCCAGCCTACTATGATTCTTTACTGCTTCTACTAAGGAGTTATCATAAGACCCTCAGGAAAATCTAGCCCATTCCACGTGATTCACTTGTTTTTATTTCTCCTTATTCATTCTGATTTATCTCAAAGCAGTAGTCTTTAGTGTTTGTTTTTATTGAGTATCATGAACCATGGATGAGATGTGGTGTCTACTGGATAGCGTGCCACCTGCTTCTGAGGCACAGAGATGGCGAAGATTCTTTTTGGCAGCAGGATGAGAACATGGGATCAGGTCTCAGGGCTACCCTACACCCACTGCACCCTGGATCCCTGGGGCGATGCCAACACCTCTCTGCACATGGCACTCTGCCATGGGTTCAGAGTCATCTCCCACAGATATGTTGAGTGTGTTTACGTGCAATTTTTTTTTATTTGCTGATGTTGAGTTTTGAGTCTCATCTTGTTTCTACCCTTTCTAGGTATCCCTGAAATTCTCATTTGTGAAGCCATCACATTTAAATGATACTGTATTTAGCCCCAACAACTGATATATTACTTGATATTGAAAAAAGCCTAGATTTGAACCCAGAATGTGTCTAAAACAGATGTTTTCCTGTCCCACTATCCCAGTTATTTCCCTGTGTTTACTGGAGAGGTCAGTCTTCTGTAGCCAATAGTGCATTCCTGGCATTATTTGAACAGTCCACATATACGCAAGCCTTAGTGGATCCCCTGAGATCTGGGTCCACAGCTGGAGCTTAAGCAACCAGCAGTGTCATGTGTTGAGTTCAGGGCTCGAGTGTTCTTGGCTGCAGACGTCAAGAGTCTTTCTATGCATTGGAAAGTCCCTTCCAAGTATATAGGACTCATAGAACCTATCTGAGGGTTAAATTTGACTTTTAACTTCACTCGTAACAGCTATACATGGGATCATTTTCCTCTTTAAAAGTTCACCCCCTTGTGCTTTTGAACTTCTTTCCAAATTAATTTGCTCTGGATTATTAAATTTAATGAGCTACCTCATGATTCTAATAAAATTAATTTGGGTGATGGAAATTTAAAATAGGGAGAAATTCCTTTTGGTTTTTTGGAGGGTCAGACAAAGGCTTTTAAACCAGATGTGACTTAGGCATTATTTCTGATCAGTTTTGAGTATAAGTGGTACTGAATTATTCCCTGAATAAAGGGGGTGGGGAGTAGTTTAGCTTTTTTTAAAAAATGAGAGGCTGAGGCAGGAGGATCCCTTGAGCCCAGGAGGTGGAGACCAGCTCGGGCAACATAGCAATAGCAAGATTCTGTCAAAAAAACACGTGTGTGTGTGTGTGTGTGTGTGTGTGTGTGTGTGTGTGTATACATGGATGTTGTTAAAATGGCAAATTTTATGTGATATATCTTTTACCACAATAACATAGCAATAGCAAGATTCTGTCAAAAAACACGTGTGTGTGTGTGTGTGTGTGTGTGTGTGTACATGGATGTTGTTAAAATGGCAAATTTTATGTGATATATCTTTTACCACAATAAAAAACAGTAAAAAAAATGTGTGTGTATGTATGTATTAAGGTCTCCCCAAACGTGAAGCTGATCTTCTGACAGCATTAGATGAACTCCATCTTAAGACTGGTATTGGATGACAGTAATCAGATATTGATTCAGTGACGCCAAGCACACTGAATTATAGCAGTGTTTAATAATTCATCCTTTTGATTTCTCAACTCCTTTTTGCCTCAGTGGCTTGAGTCATGGAGCCACGTCTGCATCTAAGTAGCCACCTGTGGTGGGTTTTAATCTCTGTAGTGAATCTGGTCCCTAGAGCTGTTTAGCAGATGTGAGTCCCCACAGGACCTGAGGTTGCATGGTGTGAGAAAGTCCCCTGGGCTGGAGCCCTGCAAAATGCTTACAGATGTGCCCTTGTTTTCTTGGAACAGTTTTCAGCTACAACACGGACTCCCGCAAGACGTGTGCCAACAACAGACACCAGTGTTCTGTGCACGCAGAGTGCAGGGACTATGCCACGGGCTTCTGCTGCAGCTGCGTTGCTGGCTACACGGGCAATGGCAGGCAATGCGTGGCAGAAGGTGATGTGCTTTTCCATGTTCAGTTTGTGGGGGAGAAGGATCAGGAGAGGGTGAAGGGGTGGAGCTTCTGCCTGGTGTTTGGTTTTCACCCAGATCTCTGGAGGTGTGTAGTGTTTTTAGCATGGCAGCGATATTTAATCTCTCACTCCCCGTTCTTTCCCATACCCTCTCCCAGGCGTTCCTGGGAAATGCCTATTTTTCTAACATGGTGAGTCCTCTCTTTCCTGTGCCATTTCTTCATCTCTGAGGTGACATCCATTGGAAGCCCACCTTCGCAACTGCTCTGAGTGTGGGACTCAGGTTGAAGTGCTGAAATTATGCAGTCTGGTCCAGGAATTGCTCACACCCCTCAGTTTCTTTCAAGCCTCTTTCCATGTCTGTTTTCTTAGAGTCTGTCACATTTTATTTGGTGTTGCTCACAGATCTTACTATCTTAGTGGTTGTTAAACCCCGGCAGGGCCACAGGGGGCTGGCTTACACCAATGTTTATAGCAGGTAAGGTTTATGCCAATCATTCTTCCCCTCCTATTTCTCTTTCCTAGTGCCCCTGACATCATAGCGTAGTTGTGGGGAGTATCAGGGGCATGCCGTGGTTAATTTTAGGGCTCCAGTCCCACTGTGGGTCTAACTCCAAAATGGATTCGGCTACAGGCCGATGTTCATTCACAAGGACCATCGAGTCTTGATGCTCCCAGATGGTCAGAAGAACCCTTTCTGTGCACATCTCAGGGGTTCTTGACAGTTCACTCAGAGTGAGGTCTCTGGGCGGCTCGAGCTACAGATCAGAATTAAAATGAAAACAGCAAAAAAAATCCACCATATTGAACATTTATCCCTTCAGATGCTGTTCTAGTCTGTTTTCTGTTGCTTATAACAGAATGCCTGAAACTGGGCCATTTATAAAGAAAAGGAATTTATTTCTTGCAGCTATGAAGACTGGGAAGTTCAAGGTTTCTTTTTTTTTTTCTTTTTTTGAGTCAGTCTCACTCTGTTGCTCAGGCTGGAGTGCAGTGACACACTCACAGCTACTGCAGTCTCGACCTGCTGGGCTCAGGCGATCCTTCTACTTGAGCCTCCCAAGTAGCTGAGACTACAGGAGCGTGCCACTATGTCCAGCTAATTTTTTAAAAAATGTATGGTAGAGACGAGGTCTTACCATGTTTTTCAGGCTGGTCTCGACCTCCCAAATCCTCTTGCCTCAGCCTCCCAAAGTGCTGAGATTACAGGCGTGAGCCACTGCAGTGAGGGCCGTCTTGCTGGTGGGGACTCTCTGCATGGTCCCGAGGTGGCACAGGGCATCACATGGCAAGAGGACTAAGGGTGCTAGCTCTTAAGGATCTGTCTTCCTATTCCTGTAAAGCCACTAGTCCCACTCCTGGACAGCACATTAATCCACGAATGGATAAGCCCATTCTTGAGAGCAGAACCCTCATGATCCAGTCACCTCCTAACGGCCCCATCTCTCAACATTGCCACCTCCATCGGGGGTTAAGTTTCAACATGAGTTTTGGAGGGGACAAATATTCAAACCACAGCAGATGCCAGTAAGTGGCTTCACTTGTCATAGGTCATTTTCCTTGTGTGTTTAATGGGGAATGTCAATTGCTTTGCAAATTTGACTAAGTAAAACTCAGTTGGAGGAACGTTCTCTGTTTTTCAGATTCCCTGTCATAGCTATAGTTAAATCAGTTATCATTTTAATTTGCTAAAAGCAGTTTTTTCCTTTTGATCATATTTGTCTTCCAGACCAGTGATGAGACTTTCATATCCAGCTTCCTGGGTGAGGGTTTTTAAAAAAACCACCTTCAGCAATGAAAGAAAATTTCATGCACTTTTCATATTAATTTTGGGGATGTTTTCAACTTCTTCAAAGTTTTCTCTATTTTCTTCCAAATCCCATCATCCCAGTGATGATATAACTTTGCTTTTTTGTTTCAGACTTGGCTTTTATACCTCCCCTGCCTTGGGAGAAGCTTCCAGGATCCACAATAAAAGCTTCTTCATCTTCTTTTTTTTTTTTTTAGATTGGAAAATATAGTTTATTTAAAAAGTAAGCTAGAGAGAGAGGAGATTCACATCTCCAAGGTAGGGGAGGAGGCCAAAGCTAGGAAACATGGCGACCATTGGTCAAAGAGCCATGTGGCCAGACCAGAGTTTAGCAAAGCAGTGGCCAAAAGCTTATTCTTAAAGAGCAACCTCGTTGGCCCTTTCCACCCCAGATATCAGAGCTCGAAATGCTGAGCAGTTTGTGCTTGACAGGAAGCTCAGATACGACAAGCTGGCCACATATTTTGTACGCACACCCTTAATAATTTTGTGGTTAAATATTTGTCAGATTCTTGCAACTTAAAAAAAAATGTTTCTAGCTCAAAGTTTAGTGGAAAAATTTTTGTTTGGTTTCCGTAACTTGGCTTTCCTGCTTGTTTCTGTAATTGTTCTTGGGATGCATTTTTCTGCTGTTAGCCTGCTAACTTCACAGCATTCCCCGGTGTAATGACACATGTGTGCAAACTCTGTGTGTCGTGAACCTGTTTAGCACTTTGGGCATATTGAACACAGCAAAAGGTCTTCAGAACATAGATGACACCCAACTGTGAGCATGCCTGTCTAGGGTCAGTCAACAACATTTACTGAGAACTTACTGTGCAAAGGAAACTTTGCCAAGGAGTGAGGGAACTGGGTATGAAAGTCCTGCCACTGGTCTGGGAGTAAAAATAATGTACTTCTGATCAAGAACTGATAGAAGTTTATTCTGCATCAAACCTAAAAATGTAAGGTGACCTTTGTTTTACTTCTTTCTTCAGTTTTTGTTTTCTTGAAATATAATTCACACCCTTTTTAAAGTTTGCAGTTTGGTGGGGTTTTAATATAGTCACAAAGTTGTCCAACTGTTAGCTCTAATTCTCGAACATTTCATCGCCCCCAAGAAAAGTACTCTTGATTCCTCAAAATCTCCTAGCCCCTGTCAACCCCTAGTCTACTTTCTATCTCTATGGATTTGCTTATTTTGGGCATTTCATATACATGGAATCCTACAACATGTGACCTTCTGTATCTGACTTCTTTTACTTAGCATACTATTTCCAAGGTTCATTCATGTTTTAGCATTTATTAGAATTGCATTCCTTTTCCTAGCCAAATAGTATCCCAATGGATGGGTATACCATATTTTGTTTAGACATTTATCAGTCAGTGGACATTTGGGTAGCTTGCCTTTTTGGCTATTATGAATAATGCTGCTAAGGACATTTGTGTACAAGTTTTTGTGTGGACATATATGTGTTCTGTTCTTTTGTGTACATACCTAGGAACTGGAATTTCTGGGTCATAATCTTTCGTTTTCTTACTTGAATACAATGAGAGCAACTTAATTTTTTTGTTCTTATTTTTTTCTGATTAAACAATAATACATATATCCAAGTTACAAATACTGAAACATTATAGAGATACATAGTATAGAAAATAAATGAACTGCTTGTGGTGGTATGTGCCTGTCGTCCTCACCGCTCAGGTGGCCAAGGTGGGAGGATCGCTTGAGCCCGGGGGTTCCAGGCTGCAGCAAGGTATGGTGGTGCCACTGCACTCCAGCCTGGGTGACAGAGTGAGACCCAGTTTCTAAACAAGTAAATAAACAAATAATTTTTTTTAAAAGAAAATGAATGTTCACCATATTGCCTCAAGTTAACCGTCATTATCAATTATCTCCTAGGTACATGTAAAAATTTATTATTAATATAAATTTTTAAGCAAAAACGGTATTCAGTATGTACAATGTGTCAATTTATTGAGAAGGCTTTTAAAGTTGCCTCAGTAGGTCTGAATCCCATTGTGGCCAACTGTCTAACGGAACTACCAACACCAGACATGCTGAGCTGGTTCTGGTCAGAGGGCAGATCTGTAACATTCACCCTGCTATGTCTGTTGTGGCTATGCTGGGTGATGATCCAGGCTCAGACGGTCAGTCCTAACCTGGGCGGTCAATCCGTGTGTGAGCCCAAGGTGTTTATGGAGGTGTGTGATAGATCAGGCAGCCACTTGTCCAGGTTGCCAGAGCCATTCAGTACAGTCATTAATTCTGCCCCCTTTACCCTCAGAAGTGATCATTTCCACGGCCCCTTTAGCTCTGGATCAGCTGTGATATGGTTCTTCTCTTTAAATTATTTATTTGTAGCCGGGCGTGGTGGCTCATGCCTGTAATCCCAGCACTTCGGGAGGCAGAGGTGAGAGGATTGCCTGAGCCCAGGACTTCGAGACCAGCCTGGGCAACTTGGCGAGACTTCGTCTCCAAAATAAATCAAACAATTAGCTGGATGCAGTGGCATGCACCTGTGGTTCCAGCCACTTGGAAGACTGAGGTGGAGAGATCCCCTGAGCCCAGCAGGTCAAGGCTACGGTGACCGTGAGCATGCCACTGCACTCCAGCCTGGGTGACAGAGTGAGATTCTGACTCAAAAAAAAAAAAAATTATATATATATTCATTTGTTCCTGCAGTTCCTCCATCACACAATGGCTTCCCTTGGAACCACTGTTTGTGCTAGCCATAACCAGTCACGTGGAAGGGAAGCTCATGGCACTCAGCTGTGGTTGCTCTCGTGGCCACTTTCAGAAGGAAAAACTACTTTTGTTTGCCCCAAAGCCATTTACTCTAGTGCTGTTCTGTCTCTGCTTTCTTCAGGAATAGGTGCAGGTCCTACCAGACCTCTGACTCCTCCTGGAAAGGCTGGCTTGGAAGCGGTCTCCACCTTCTTTGTTTTCTTGCTCAGGTTCCCCCCAGCGAGTCAACGGCAAGGTGAAAGGAAGGATCTTTGTGGGGAGCAGCCAGACCCCCATTGTCTTTGAGAACACCGACCTCCACTCTTACGTGGTCATGAACCACGGACGCTCCTACACAGCCATCAGCACCATTCCCGAGACCCTCGGCTATTCTCTGCTTCCTCTGGCTCCGGTTGGAGGCATCATTGGATGGATGTTTGCAGTGGAGCAGGACGGATTCAGGAATGGGTTCAGCATCACAGGTAATCTCTGTCCAGCATGAAGATGAATGGGCTACACAGCGGTGCCTGGGTTGGGGGTAAGGGAGTGAAGGGAAAGGGAACTCTTGTCTGCAAGCAACTGGCTGACAAGCATCTTTTAGCCCCTTTTTATCTATAGACAGAGCACCCCATAGTTCTGCCTTGGAGAAGAGATAAGGAGGTGACATATAACTTTTCATTAATACATATTAACCAAGACTGCCTAGAGTTGTGTTTTGTCCAAGGAGCAATTCTGTGGTGGGTATTTAGAGGTCTTTGTCAGAACAAGTGATATCAGCTCATGTAGCCTCACAACCCAAAGTGTGGGGATCACAGGTTGCCTGTTCTGTGCATCAAGCCTGCTTCCGAATTCCAAACCAATCTGAAATTGATACTTGACATTTCCTCGGTTTCTGCTCAGAGAAGAGCAGCCTGCCATTTCTAGCTGATAAGTTTAACCCGATGAGCATAAGCTTCATGAGTCTTAGGACACCAGAGTTTCCTTGGAGTTTCTGGAGACTGTCTCCTATCAAGGGAAGTTCAGTCTTTAGCAGACGTGTGGGCAGATTGTTTGGGGTTGCTTGGTATAGTGATGATCTCTTCCTTGCTCTGCTGAAGCAGTTTCCCTCTTTTGTGTGTGCCTCATTCGGACCACATGGATGTCCAGGCTCTGTCCTCAGAGTCATCAGCCCGTGTCCTACCAGCCTGACTAAAGTGCCTGCAGAGGGGGGTTGTGCTGTGCCCTGTTCATAGCCCCGCACTGTGAGCCCTGGATGGGCAGGAGGGCTGGCTTGGCAGACAACAGAGTGACAGGCCGATCTTGCTTTCCAGGGGGCGAGTTCACCCGTCAGGCCGAGGTGACCTTCGTGGGACACCCGGGCAAGCTGGTCATTAAGCAGCGGTTCAGCGGCATCGATGAGCATGGGCACCTGACGATCGACACGGAGCTGGAGGGCCGCGTGCCCCAGATCCCCTTCGGCTCCTCAGTGCACATCGAGCCCTACACGGAGCTGTATCACTACTCCAGCTCGGGTGAGCCCCAGCGTGGCCCAAGGCCAGCGGTGGCCTGGGGTCAACCCCGCGCTGGCCACCGGCCACGTGCTCCCGACCCACCACAGCAGCCGTGGAGCTGGAGTTTGGAGAGGGAAATACACAGGGCCTTACCTAAGACTTTCACTTCCCCCTCCCAATTCTAGACGTAGGACATGCTCGTTGTAGAGACTTTAGTGCACAGAAGATAATACGTGTAACTTGGAGTCATAAAAGGATATAATTATTCTTAGATTTAAGTGCCAGGGAGAAGGGAAAAAAGAGTTTAAGTGTATTTCCCTCCAGTTTTTTCCCCAGCATCTATCTATGTAGATCTGTATCAAATATACCAACATAGTATATAATTTGAAGATAAGATGATATGATTTTATTATAATATACATCTATCCATAGTTTTAAAAACCACATTTATTCTCCATTTGGTACTTGGTTTAAAATAATATAAAATTTACAAAAAAGTTGAAAATAGCACAGAGAATTTCCACATTCCATTTACTAGCTTCACTAGTTGTTAATAATTTTGCTACATTTACTTTTTCATTCTCTCTCTCTCTCTCTCTCTCTCCATATATATATATACACACACATATACACACAACACACATTATTTTTTCCCTACTGTTGAGAGTAAGGTATGTTTACATTATGATAGTTCATTCATGTGTTTTTCCTAAGAACAAGGACATTCTCTGACATGCCCACAGTACAGTGATCAAAATCAGAAAATTTAACACTTTTACAATACTGTTACATAGTCTATAGTCAATAGATTATAAAAATAATTTTAAAATAATTTATAAAAATTGTTTTTATTTAAACAAAATTGCAATCATGCCATTGTTGTATTTTCACCTTTTCATTAGCCTAAGTCACGAATATTTAATAATTTTGTTAAGCAGGCTTTGAGCTGGGCATGATGACTCATGCCTGTAATCCCAGCTCTTTGGGAGGCTAAGGCAGGAGGATTGCTTGAACCCAGGAGTTTGAGACCACCCTGGATAACATAGCAAGATCTTATTTCTACAAAAATTAAATTAAGTAAAATAAAACAAAAGCAAAACAGGCTTTAAAAATGCTTTTTAAGGAATGTGTATAATTCTATTAGATGGCTATTAATCTAAACCATTCTCCTATTTTCTTTTTTATTATTTTTTCTAAATTTTATTTTATTTCTGTAGAGTCAGGGTCTTGCTTTGTTGCCCAAGCTGATCTTGAACTCCTGGCTTCAAATGATCCTTCCTCCTCCCAAAGTGCTGAGGTTATAGGTGTGAGCCACTGCGCCCAGCCTCATTCCCTTATTTTCTAAAGCTTAGATTGTTTCCCGTTTTCTTTTCTCATTACAAGTTGAAGTGACCATGTGTATTGTAAATCTTGACCACATTTCTTATTCTTTTCAAAGACTCCATTCCTAGAAATAAAAGTGCTGAGTCAAACAACAGGAACTTTTTCAAGGCCCTTATTAAATTGCTGTCCAGAAAGGTTGTACCAATTACCAGGGTATTCTGGCTTGGTGGCATTCTCCTGGGGCTGAGCGCCAGTGAAGAGGGGGTGGAGGGCATAGTGGGGCCCTGCAGCAGCCAGATGGCCTTCCTGGCACGTGGGAGCCAGAGAGGAGGCAGCTACAATGACCTTTTCTTTATCCTTTGGCTCGTATGCTGCTGTTGTAGTGCAAACTGCAGCAAAGCACAGAAATATAAAGAGTCTTTTATACTTTTCTTTTGTTTTAAATAGGAAGTTGAGGGTTTTGTTGCATGGGTGAATAGCATGCTTTCTTTTGAGTGGGGAAGATATCTCTCCTCTATTGAGGTTTGCTCATGGCGCTTTGGTAATTTTTCCAAAATTGGCTACTGAAACTCATTTAATGTCTCATTTTTGAGTCTCATTCTAAATGAAACTAGAGTCGTTTAGATTTTAATCTTATTAATGTAGAGTGGTGTGTAGCGACCACTATTTATTGAATCCTAATGGAGATCACTTATCTAAAATGGCACGTTGCTAGTCACGGAGTAAATGCTCAATAAACGGTAGTTGATCTTACTCAATTGAGTAATGCTACTAGCAGTGTTAGTCTGCTTGATTCCAGAAACTTTACGTGCAATACCACATCTAATCTTTACCTTGACTCATTTTGTAAAAGAAACTGAAACTAAAGAGGTTTGTTAGTAACAGCCTGTAGTGACACGGCTTGTGAGTGGTCCAAGGTATGAATTCAGGCATATCTCCTTCCAAACATACATTCTCCCCACCAGACCTTCCTCTCCGGTTCTGGGGCACTCTTAGGAACTTACAAAGAACCACTTGCTGAGAAGAGCAACAAATATCGGTAATGCAAATGATACCAATGATCGTCTGGAAAATCTAGGTCGTAGGTGGGTCCCAGTGTGGATGAATTGTCATATTTAAGCTGTTCCATCAGACCTATCCTCGGGTAGCATTATGGGCAGTGGGTGCCACTGGTGGCTTTAAAGCCCTTGATTCAGCTTCTTACATCTGTAACGATCTCCCCTTGTCCCTTCCCTTCCTCCCGCACCCCAGTGATCACTTCGTCCTCCACCCGGGAGTACACCGTGACCGAGCCCGAGCGAGACGGGGCTGCCCCTTCCCGCACCTACACTTACCAGTGGCGGCAGACCATCACCTTCCAAGAGTGTATCCATGACGACTCCCGGCCAGCCCTGCCCACCACCCAGCAGCTCTCGGTGGACAGTGTGTTTGTCCTGTACAACCAGGAGGAGAGGATTCTGCGCTATGCTCTCAGCAACTCCATCGGGCCTGTGCGGGGTGAGGGGCATGGTGTGTGTATCCACACACGCCTCTGGGCTCCCTCATCTAAAAAAACCCTGCTCTGGGATGTATTGTTGTCGGTATCTCACTCTTGAGTCCATAGAAGATGAAGATTATGCTAAAATATCTTCTGGCGGAAAAAAAAAACGTCTTGTCATCTGTGACTTGTGGCAAACCTATCCGCCTCTGTTATTCTAACTGAAGGCCTGCTTGTAATCCCGTGGGAATAGAACTTGTTGAGGTATCTTAGAGTGGACCATCATTGGGCTGCTGCTGACTTGAGGAGGGCTTTTTTTATTTTTATTTTTTGAGTTGGGGGGTCTCACTCTGTCACCCAGGCCGGAGTGCAGTGGCACAGGGCTCACCACAGCCTCCTAGGTTCTTGGGTTCAGGTAATTCTTATGCCTCGGCTTCTTGAGTAGCTGGGGCTACGGTTGAAAGCCACCACACTTGGCTAATTTTTTGAATTTTTTTTGTAGAGGCGAGGTCTCGCTATGCTGCCTGTGCTAGTCTTAAACTTCTGGGCTCAAGCAGTCCTCCTGCCTTGGCCTCCCAAAGTGCTGGATTACAGGCATGAGTCACTGTGCCTAGCCTGGGAGGGCTTTTTGAACACTCTAATACTCAACCTTGAAAGGAGTTGAGTGCTTAGGGCCTGAGGAAGTTGAATAGAATTAGGCATGGAACCTGAAACAAACTCTAGCCCTGTGACTACACATCCCTGGGGCTGTGGTATATGGACATTTCCAGTTGCATGGAAGGAGTTGACGTTTAGCAAGCTTTCGTGACATCTCAGTGTCAGACTTCACTAAAAGTCCAAAGCTTTAAGCCCCAGGGTTCCTGTATAATTGGAGCCTGGGTCTTAAGTTGGTTCCCTCTTTTCAGTTGTTTTTGGTCCTCCTTCTGTGTCCAAGTCACCTCTCCAGCTGATCACTTTGCCTTTTCTTTAACTCTGTAAAGCAGAAGGCAAATAAATGTCATTCTCTCTCCTTTGACGATTGTGACTGTAGGCATCAGAGGTAACACATTTTTTCTTAAAGAATTAGATAGTAGATATTTTAGGCTTTGCCTGCCATAGGGTCTCTGCCACAACAGGTCAGTTTTTCCAGTTAGCACAAAAGCAGCCATAGACCATATATAAGCAAATGGGTGTCACTGTGTGCCAGTAAAACTTTATTTACACAAGCAGGAGGAGGCCAGAAGAGAATAGTGTGCTGTTCCTGCCCCAGAGTATCATGGAAGCAGTTGGTTTCCCATTCCTCTCTGCTCTCCCGTGATCACCTTGGTCACCAGTTGTGGTTTACTTGCTTGGAGGGAGGAAACCTGCGAGCGTTGTTGAAACTCACTTGGTTCCAATGTCTCTACCTTCACAGACGGCTCTCCCGATGCCCTTCAGAATCCTTGCTACATTGGCACTCACGGGTGTGACACCAATGCGGCCTGTCGCCCAGGTCCCAGGACACAGTTCACCTGCGAGTGCTCCATCGGCTTCCGAGGAGACGGGCGGACCTGCTACGGTACAGCCTTTGATTCTGACTCGTGGGGATGGGGGGAAACTAGGCTAACACGAAGCATCCAGGTTCTGTAAACCAGAGCTGGGTACGGCGAGGAGGCACGAATGAGATTCTTACTGGTGGGCCTGCCCTGCCTGAATTTTTGATGACATGCACTCACTGTTCCCCTGGGTAATGCCAGGGGTACTGTCCCTTCCATCTGATCTAATGTGCCGACTCAGAGTAGATTCCTAAGACCACACTCCACTCCACCTAAGAGTGCACAGGTTTAAGGGGAACTGAGAGTCAGAGCTGTGCTTTACCCAGGCACCGTTTGCATTAAGTGCTTCACAGACACCACCTTGTTTAATTTTCCAGCAACTCTGATGAGGGTGGTTCCTTCTTTCCTGTTTATCTTTGAAAATTATGTATAATTGCTTGATCTAATTGTTTAAAATACACATAATATAAAATTTACAACTGGGCAGCGTGGCTTATGCCTGCAATCCCAGCACTTTGGGAGGCTGAGGAGGAAGGATTGCTTGAGCCCAGAAGTTTGAGATCAGCCTGGGCAACATAGCGAGACCTCATCTCTACAAAAAAAAAAAAAGGAAATTAGCCAGGCGTGGTGGTGTTTGTCTGTCGTCCCATTTACTCAGGAAGTTGAGGTGGAAGGTTTGCCTGAGCCAAGGAGGTCAAGGCTGCCATGAGCTATGATCATGCCACTGCCCTCCAGCCTGGGCAAAAGAGCGAGACCCTGATTCAAATTTTTTTTTTCTGTTTTAACAATTTTTAAGTATACAGTTTAGTGGCATTAAATATACTGTGTGCAACCATCACCAATGTCCATCTTCAGAATACTTTTCTTTTTGCCAAACAAACTTTATACCCATTAAACAACTCCTTGTCTCTCCCTTCCCCAAGTCCCTGGCAACCACCATTCTACTTTCTGTCTATGAATCTGACTATTCTAGGGACTGCATATAAGTGGGATCATACAGTATTTGTCCTTTTGTGACTGGCTTATTTCACTTAGCATTTTGTCCTTAAGGCTCAGCCATGCTATGGCATGTGTCAACGTTTTCTTTCCTTTTTAAGGTTGAATGATATTCCATTATATGAACCTGCCACATTTTGTTGATCCAGTCATCAGTGGACACGTGGGTTTCTACCTTTTGGCTGTTGCAAACATTGCTGGTGTGAATGTGGGTGACCAAATATCTGTTGGAGTCTCTGCTTTTTAATTTTTTGGAGTGCCTAAAAGTAGGATTGCTGGGTCTTAGGGTGATCCTGTGTCTATTTTTTTAAGGAACGACCATACTGTTTTCTGTAGTGGCTGCACCATTTTACATTCCTACCTGCAATGCACAAGGGTTCCACTTTCTCTATATCCTTGGCAATACTTTTTATTTTCTGTTTTTTTTTTAAATGGTGACCATCCTAGTGGGTGTGAAGTTCATTCCTCTTTTTATGACAAGATAATGGAGGCTCGTTAAAGTGAGCTGTGACAAGAATATTTGAACTCCTGCCTCTGACTCAAGCATCTGTATTGCTCTCTCTTGTTGTAGGTACTTTATTATTTTTAAAGTTCAAATACATTCACATAGATGGATAGATATTAATATGTTTGTTACTAATTTTCTTTTTTTTGCATTGGAGTCTCACTCTGTTGCCCAGGCTGGAGAGCAGTGGCACCCTCCTGGCTACCACAGCCTTCTGGGCTCAGGCGATTTTCCTGCCTCAACCTCCCGAGTAGCTGGAACTACAGTCCAGCGCCACCATGCCTGGCTAAGTTTTTGATTTATTGTAGAGATGAGGTCTCACCAAGTTGCCCAGACTGGTTTCTAATCCCTGGACTCAGGCAATCTTCTCACCTCTGCCGCCCAAAGTGCTGAGGTTACAGGCGTGGACCTCTGCGCCTGACTTTTACTCAATTTTAATCCGCGACCGGGGGACAGTTAGTTCACTACCAAGAATGTAAAATGCTTCGGCCAGCGCTACCGAAGTCTGCGATGAGTGAGGAGACTCAGCAGTGAGCATGGGGAATGCTGGGAGTAAGTTTCCCTGGGGGGACGACTAGTGTAAGCACGTGGAGGTGGCCAGAAAGATGTACAGCTCCCTCCACCTTGCCTGACTGGGATATAAAAATCTGGGAGAACCAGCAGCCTTGGAGTTTGGGAGTGATGCCCTACATCTGGAATCCAACACCCCCAGCCAACAGATTTGGTGTCCCGATTGAACGTGAAGGTTAGCAGATGGGGCTGTCGGGGTATTGCGTCTGCTTCAGAGTTAACCTTTTATGCGAGATGCCCCGTGGTGACGTCTGCAGTGCGGGCGAGCAGGGACGTGCGCTCATGGAAATGGGTTGTGTGGTAGTTCGGCCAGCTTGCTGATCATTTGAGTAGGTGGTAGAATTCAGTCTGAGACGCGCCTTCCTGGTCACACGCCACCAGGGAGGGGGCATAGTGCCTACCCACCTATAATGGTCAGTTTCCCGATTCTTCCCCCAAAGAGCCCGACAGACTGGAAGGGCTGGATTGGCTCCAGCCAGTCCAAAGCGGCACAGTGCTGCATGAGTGGAGCTCTTCTAGGTGTGAAGATGGACCCCTTGCAGGGTTGGGGCTTTCAGTGACCCACACCTCCTCGGTCTTTTTTTGAGTTGGAGTTTCATTCTGTCGCCTAGGCTAGAGTGCAGTGCCACACTCCGGGCCACCGCAGCCTCCACCCGCCAGGCTCAGGCGATCCTTCCGCCTCAGCCTTCCAAGTAGCTGGAACTACAGGCGTGCGCCACCACACCCAGCTAATTTTTTGATTTATTGTAGGGACGAGGTCTCACCATGTTGCTCAGGCTAGTCTCAAATCCGCAGGCTCAGGCAACCCTCTCGCCTCCACCACCCAAAGTGCTGGGGTTACAGGCTTGAGCCACCATGCCTGGCCTCTCCTCAGTCTTTATGTGGCCCTGCTTCAACTTTGTAAGCCACCTGATTTAATAAAGTGTGGAGATCCCGCAACCTGCTGCTGCTAAACTGAGATCTCCAGCCTGATTCCGCTCTTGGTGCCTGAGCTTGTCACAGTGGGAATGCTTCACTTCAGACGGCATGGTCAGCCAGGCTTTGTGAATCACTGCTATCCTAGAAAATCCTCGGATGTCCTTGTCCAGGAAGACAGGTGGTCGTATATAGACTTGCTTTTGTTCTGTGGCTAGTCATTGTTCTGGCATATTACTTCCGTGGAATGTGGGTATATTCCCAGTCAGGCTACTTATTGTTCTGGGTCACGAGAACATGCCTCAGAGTGTTAATGCATTGAGACATGTGGCTTTGAATAGGAAATTGCATTAAGCAGATCATTTCATGTGTTGTTTTGACCTGGGAAGTGCCTTAGAGGAGAATGAGGATGAGGCTTGGTGATTCAGTGTGTGTAGCGTTGATATAATGGTGTATGACACTCAAAACAAGGCTGGTTTTGGTTAGATACCACACAATGAACCTTAAAGGTGATTTGGAGATTTTCAGTTGAATCACAGAGCTCCGTGATCTGCTCCATGGTACACAGCAGAATGGCTCTCATAAATTTCTCTGTTTGGAGACTGTGGAGATAGGTTGGGCTAATGTCTCACTGAATAATTTTTGACTATGTAGAAGTCATTTAACAGATCAGTATGAGACTTTTCTCTTCAAAGAGCCTAGCTTTCATAAAGGGAAAACTTAGCCGAGCTTGGTGGCTCAGCCTATAATCCCAGCGCTTTGGGAGGCTGAGGTGAGTGGATTGCCTGAGCCCGCGGGTTCGAGACCTGCCTGGGTAACTTGGCAAGACCTCATCTCTACAATAAATCAAAAAATTAGCCGGGCGTGGTAGCGCGCGCCTGTAGTTCCAGCTACTTGGAAGGCTGAGACGGAAGGATCGCCGGAGCCCAACAGGTCGAGGCTGCGGTGGCCGGGAGCGGCCACTGCACTCCAGTCTGGGTGACTCAGTGAGACTCCAACGAAAAAAAAAAAAGGGGAAACTTTGAGTTGTTGAAAATAGGTGACACTGAAAAAAGTCAGAAAGGACACAGTAATTACAAGGGTAATGCAGGATTTTCCTACTGAGTTAGAAAGTGGTTCTTTGAAAGAAAATCTCTTTCTCGAGAAGAGGTTGACCATATGTTGAATAATAAGAACAGTCATCTTCAAGCAAATAAAGTGGTATTTTATGAGAGAGAGTTATCACCAATTCACACCTTTCACTAAAGAAAAGGTTAAGACCCTGGCCTCTGTTTACAGAAGGGAGGATTTAAATTATATAGGAAGAATTTCCAAACGAGGAAATTCCAAGCAAAGACCATGAACCATTAGCAGGGCAATTGCTGGGGTCTGGTCTCTAAGAAAAGGTGCTGTCCAGCCTGGCTTGTGTGTGTAGGCCTGCACAGAAGTGGAGGTGGTGCAAGGGAGCGTCCCCTCCTTTATTCCACCAGCTTTGAGGTCTTATTTGTCAATTGTTCTCCAGGTAGGGCGTGAGAGAAAAGCCTGACTCGTACAGAAGCTTTTTTCACAGCACACAGTTTCCCCTTCCATAAATGTTCCCAGGGAAGAGCAGAGCTTGAAAAAGTTCCCCTGGTATTTCTGCTCTGTCTTCTTGATTGAAAACTGCTGCTCTGTGCTCTTGTGCTTTGGCAGTTGAGTCAAAGCCACCGGGCCCCACAGTTTGTACAATGTGTCCAGACATCTGTGCTGGGAGTGTCCTCTGAGAGTTGTGATACAGAGACCATGGACTCAGGAAGGCTCTTTTTTTCTCCCATATTGCTGGAGTAGCAGCTGGTAGATGGAGCTGTGAAGTCTACACTTGCTGAATGCCCCCCTCTCCCATGTCCACACCCAGCTCCAGCTTCTGGCAGAGCCTGCCTTGGGTGGGACTTTGTTCCAGAACCTTCCAGCTGTTCCTGGCACAGTCTTCTTGCCTGAAACCTTGTGTCTTTAGCACTTCACAGAAACACACATTTCAGAATATATTCAACAAGTTGAATACTATTTGGTTTGAGCATTTGCCTGGGTACAGGACCGACTCTGGGGTTGATATGTCCCAATACTTGTTTTGTGCAGTATTGTCCAATAAGCTGGCAGGGCATTTGTCCCACCCACAAAGGGATTGGCTAGATTGGCCATTGAAGGCGGACACATGAGACTTTGTCTCCCAAGTGTGAAAGATTCACATTAGAGCACCAGAGAGGGAGTTTTATCAGTGAGAGGGAAATGTGGCCTCAGCCATCATGACATTCTCTCCACACACATCTCAGAGTTTTAGAAATGCCAGAAGTAGCTGTATACACTCTGAGTATGCAGTTGGCGTGGGAAGGACCTTGTATAACCGTTCATTTTAACCTGTCAGTGGACAGGTAACCAGAGTAGCTCAGTTTCTCGTCTGGGCCAATCAGCCTTACACTGGTGGTAGCTGCAGCCTGACCCCCAAAACCTGGTGGCCTTGTGAGGGCTCTGTTCCCGGAGTCAGTCAAATCCATCACCATGGCTGCAGATGTTATATGAATCTCTACAAATTATAATAGCTGTGTGTCTTGAGCACACTAGGTGCTTCTTTGGCCTGCATCCATTTTCTGTAATCCTCAGAAGAACCCTCAAGATGAGTATTATTATGCTTAATAATCAATAGAGAACCTGAGGCTGAGTAGGTAGACAAGGCAACTTTCTCAAGACCACACGAGTCAGCAACTAAAGGAGCCGGGGTTTGAACCTAGCCATGTCCAATGCCAAATCAAATGTTCAGGTTTTTGCTGTACTTTACCTCGTGATGGTGGCTGTAGTGTTGTCATATGAAATGTCACCTTACTAGCTTATTCACAGTCTTATGAGTTAATGATTTTCCTTTTAGTCCATTAAACTCTAGATAATATGCGAAAATTCACAATTAGGCTTTAACATGTTCAACTTTTTACTTCTTTGTAACCGTGATGGAGAAAGTTAATATTTTTGGAGAAGAGCATATTTATGTATGTATGTATGTTCGAGTCTCATTCTGTTGCCCAGGCTGGAGTGCAGTGGCATGCTCACAACCACTGCAGCCTCCACCTTTTGGGCTCAGGTGATCCTTCCACCTCAGCCTTCCAAGTTGCTGGAACTACAGGCACATACCACCATGCCTGGCTAATTTTTTGATTTATTGTAGAGATGAAGTCTCACCAAGTTGCCCAGGCTGGTCTCGAACCCATGGGCTCAGGAAATCCTCTCCCCTTGACCTCCCAAAGTGCTGGGATTATAGCTGTGAGCCACCACGCCTGACCGAAGAGCATATTTAAATAGCTCACAAGTTTAAGAACCTCATTTAGAATCCAGACACTTGTCTCTGTGTTCTTCCAACATGTTATTTGCCCATCTGACATGAGTGGCTCGTGTGCAGCCTCAGGTTCAGCAAAACTAACTCTGGGGGTTTGCGAGGGAGAGGGGTTCGAGAATGCATTTACTTAGGGGAAGGACCTGGAGTCACTCTCTAACATTATGCACAGAAAAAAAAAACTTATCTAGCACTTTTGGAATATAGAAACATCTGTTTTAAAATTGACCCATTCTTCAGCAAAAATGCTTTCTGATTCAGTATATTCAGTGAGGTTTGAAGAGGTTATAAAAGTGTGCTTTTCTAAAAAAATTCACTGTAGATATTGATGAGTGCTCAGAGCAGCCCTCGGTGTGTGGGAGCCATGCCATCTGCAACAACCACCCAGGAACCTTCCGCTGCGAGTGTGTGGAGGGCTACCGGTTTTCAGACGCAGGCACGTGTGTGGGTAAGTTCTTCAGGTGTCTTTTCTAAACATGTATTTAGACGGTCTGTGTTAGCTCCTGGGGTCCTGTGTAGAAGGTGCTATCCCCAGTAATGATCTTGGCCAAGAGGAAAGATGCTAGGTGCCGGTATCAGGAAGGGCAGTTTCAAGGATGAGTCAGACTTAGCCCTGCCTGCCCACTACCTGGAGAGTCATAAGTACCCAGAGTAAGCAGTGTTACTGTCTACGCTAGTTATACCATCAGCTCACCCGTTGCAAGCTTTTGCATTACACCTACTTCTCATAAACTTTAAAAAACCATTTTCATTATCCTTTTTTTTAAAGTCAGAGACTTGCTAAAAAAAAAACAAAAAAAAACTGGAGTGTGGTAGAACAATCACGGCTCACCACAGCCTCCACCTCTTGGGCTCAGGTGATCCTTCCACCTAAGCCTCCCGAGTCGCTGGGACTACAAGTGCGTACCACCACACCGGCCTGATTTTTTTCATTTTTGTAGAGATAAGGTCTCACTATGCTGCTCAGGCTGGTCTCAGGCTCCTGAGCTCAAGTAATCCTCCCATCTCAGCTTCTCAAAGTGTTGGGATTACAGGCATAAGCCACTGCACTCAGTCAATTTTCATTATACTTTTAATAGCTATTAGACTTTTTTCTCCTATTAACTAGTGGCCTTGGAATTCACATTGAGGGACCACTTTATAGGCGCTTTTGTGTTATTACCTGTCTTAGATTGAGTTCTACTCCGAGTGACGCTTAAATTCAATTCGGGGCCATTCTGCTTATGGATTTTAATTTTACAAGCCACAGGCGGTGTTGTAACCTCTTAGCCTTATCAAAGTAAGTTGCCGCTATTAATTAGGCTAATTGTGCTCTTGGTCAATGTTGATTTTGGGGACGGTGATGATGGGCTCATCACAAACACCAGTTTCTCCTCTCTTTCCTTCTGCTGCGTTTTGATCTGTTTGGTCCAAGAATTGTAAGTTCAAGGTTCTTGAGTGACCGGAGCCAGCACGTTCTCAGGTCTGGAGGGCAGCGTGCCAACTGGGCCAATCGAACCTAACATGTCGTCTTAATCTAAAACAGGTTCCTCTTGGGCTGTGTCAGCAAACCATCTCCTTGCCCTTCCTCACTGTTCACTCACCCCAGAATGTTTTCCCTTTGCTCTGTCTTGAAGCTTGCCAAGGTGAGGCTGCCAAGGTCCTAGGGTGAGGCGGTGTCTTGAGGATGGGAGGGAACAGGCAGTTCTCATATTTTGAGTGTGACCCGAACATCTGTGAGCTCAGGGAGGCCAGTCCCCTTTGTACAGAGTTGAACTTTCAGCTCTGCTAAAGTTACTTCTCCTTCTCCTTCTCCTTCTCTTCTCCATAGAGGCCATCAATTTCGGGGTATTTGGTCTGACATCCTTCTCTGCTTTTTGAGGTCAAGGAGATTACAGAGTTTACTTTTTTTTCCTTTTGAGTGGGCATCTTGCTATGTTCCCCAGGCTGGAATGCAGTGGTGCCATCATAGCTCACCTCAGGCTTGACTTCCTGGGCTCAGGTGATCCTTCTGCCTCAGCTTCCCAAGTAGCTGGGGCTACAGGCGTGCACCATCACACGGGCTTAATTTTCTTTTTTTTTTTTTAATTTTTGAGTTGGAGTCTCACTCTGTCACCCAGGCTGGAGTGCAGTGGCACACTCACAGCCACTGCAGCCTTGACTGGCTGGACTCAGGCCATCCTTCCACCTCAGCCTTCAAAGCAGCTGGAACTGCAGGCACACGCTACCATGCCCGGCTAATTTTTTTTTTTTTAAATAGACAGAGATCTTGCCTAGTTGCCCAGACTGGTCTTGAACCCTGAGCTCAGGCAATCCTCTTGCCTCCACCTCCCAAAGTGCTGGGATTACAGGCATGAGCCACTGCGCCCAGCTAGTTTTTTATTTTTTGTAGAGATGAGGTCTGTCTATATTGCCTAGACTGGTCTTTAACTTCTGGGCCCAAAGCATTCCTCCCAGCTCAGCCTCTCACAGTGCTAGGATTATAGGTGTGAGCCACTGTGCCTGGCTCAAAGTTTATTTTCAATGGCCACACTATGTGCATTACATTTGGACTCAAGCTTTGGTAGTTGATACTTTACCCCTTGGGTGGTGAGGTGCACAGTAACCAAGATCCATCCTGGGACACATGTGGGAGGCATGATGACTTAGGCTTCTTGATCCAACCATTCCTGATGTCCATACTCACTGGAGGGGCGGGGCAGGGTGCAAGACAGGTGCTGTGCAAATGTCTCCTCCCTGGCGTTTGATTTTGAGGAAGACACTTAACCTCTCTGAGCCTCAGTTCCTCATCTGTGAAGTGAGATGATCAGGCTGGATCATTGATTTTCTGTGTCCCATGGAGACCTTAGCAGTGTGTTGTCAAAGAGGATACAGGGAAGCCGTCATGGGCAGGCTCTTGTCCTCTCCTCTGACCTCTAGCCTTTTTTCTTTTTTTTAATTTTTAAATTTTATTTTTGTAAAGGCAAGGTCTCACTATGTTGCCCAGGCTGGTCTTGAACTCCTGGGCTCAAGTAATCCTTTCACCTCAGTCTCCCAACGTGCTGGGATTACAGGCATGAACCTCCATGCCCAGCCTCCATTTATATATGTATAAAATTCTCCTCCTCTCTGCAATAAATAAGAAAAAGTAGATGGGCATGGTGGCGCGTCCCTGTAGTTCCAGCTACTTGGAAGGCTGAGGTGGAAGGATCGCCTGAGCCCAGCAGGTTGACGCTAGGGTGGCCATGAGCATGCCACTGCACTCCAGCCTGGGCAACGGAGTGAGACTCTAACTCAAAAAATTAAATTAAATTAAATTCTAAGTAAGATTTTGTCTGAGTAATGGATTGCATTGCTCAAAAGCAAGTGTAAAAACCACTGAATGGTCCTTAGGCGTCACCAAGCCCTGGCCATAGGAGGGCTCCTGATTCTGTCACTACCTATAGGTCCTGGCAGTTCCATCCTGCTCAGCACCTCATCACCCCCCCTTGTTTTTTTTAAAGCATTATTTTGTAATTGACAAATAATAACTGTACATATTTATAGGGTACCTAGTGATGCTTTGATACATATAATGTGTAGTGATTATACCAGGGCAAATAGCATATCTGTTATCTCAAACATGTATCATTTCTTTGTTTTGGGAACATTCAGTATCCTCCTTCTAGCTAGTTGAAATTACATCACATATTACTGGTAACTGTAGTCATCCTGGAGTGCTATAAAACTAGAACTGATTCCTCACGTCCAGCTGTAATGTCATGTCCTTCAGGCAATCTCTTCCTCTCCTTTTCTTCTCCCTTCCTCTCCTAGCTTCTAGTATTCTCTGTTGTACTTTTTATTTCTAGAAGATCAACTTTGTTTTTAGCTTCCACATGGGTGAGAACATCTTTGCCCCATTTAATTGGCTCTTTTGACACTCACTGTGCAGAGATGGCTTGCTGTAAAACCAAGTTTGCTTACATGCATTCAATAAATAACTCCGGCTTGTCACTGGATAATCGAGTGGTCCAGTCATGTCTCATGGAATTCCTTGTTTGAAACAGTATTCTAGGGTGGAAGCCTGAGTTGGGAGGGTTACCCTACAGGTCAGAACAAGGAAGGGTGAAGAAAGAATCCAGCAGATTAGGAGGCCATCTCTGAGAGGGGCCAGGAGCTCAGGCAGGGCACGTGGTTGGCCCGAAGGAATTCTCCTTTCATGAGGATGGTGTGCATTACAGGGCTACTTTGTAGACTTCCATAGTTGGCGTATTCTGTAAACCCATGACTACCTCTTTTCCACTGGGTGAAAACTTTTACAGTTAGTTGAAATGTGCAAAACACGTTACCATGGAGGAAAGATGGGACGTGGTTTGCCCACAAGTGACCTTGATGCGAAGACATAGACGCCTCTTGAATGGACGCAGCAAGTGATACTGGACTGGCATATGGCGCCTGATGAACTTGAGGTCCTTCTTAGGCTCACCTGGGCACAGCACATGCATCGACCCTTCTAATGAGGCAAGAGGAGAGGCAGACGGAAGCAAAAGGCTGCAGTGCACAAAGCTCCCTTGCCCTTGCCTCACCTAGGGGTCCTGTTTTCCCTCTATTGCCAGTCGTTTTGTTAGGAAAATTCTTCGAGGTATTCATTTGTGATCTTATTTTTAGAACTTAGAGGAACTCAAGGCTGTGAAACCACTCTGCGGAGAGCTCTCTACACCCTGCCTTTTTCTCCTCCTCCTAAGTGACATCTTTCCCTCAGGTCACCCTTCTTCCTCTCTCCATCTCCTTCCTTCTCCCCTGTTGCCTTATTTGCCTGTGTGTGTCTCTTGGGGACCACTGTCAGGTAGATGGCAGCATCTCAAGGCTGGTCACCCCAGACTGATAATGCTGGGTCAGGGCAGAATCCTTTTCCAGGGTTCTCATCAGAAAAAAAAAAAGGAATCAGAAAAATGAAACCCCAGTTTATAATTGTGCTGGTTCCCATTTGAGCCCAATTTTCTCTCTTTTTCAAAACTTTCACCCTCTGTTCATCTTATGGCTTCCCATTGGTTGAGCGGGCGGGGTTAGAGTGGCAGGGAAGAGGCCGCTCGGCAAGCCTGGGAGTCCAGGAGGATGGAGGTGTGTGTTGGCGCCCTTCTTGTATATATTGTTGCTGATCTCTTTAGGCTGTTGGAGCAGCACCTTCTCTTTTGTAGTGTTGGGTTATGGACCATCCTGGCTTTAAAATGGTGCCTCCAAGCCGGGCTGGGTGGCTCAGTCTGTAACCCCAGGACTTTGAGAGGCTGAGGTGAGTGGATTGCCTGAGCCCGCGGGTTCGAGACCCGCCTGGGCAACTTGGCGAGACTCATCTCTACAATAAATCAAAAAAAGTTAGCAGGGCGTGGTAGCACGCACCTATAGTTCCAGCTACTTGGAAGGCTGAGGCGAAGGGATCGCTGGAGCCCAGCAGGTCGAGGCTGCAGTGGCCAGGAGTGTGCCACTGCACTCCAGTCTGAGTGACAGAGTGAGACTCCAACTCAAAAAAAAAAATGGTACCTCTTTGAATGAACATCATCAACAAGACCATCTAGAAACTGTGTGTGAGAAGTAGAGAAAAACTACCAGAGAGCTCCAGAGGGTGCAGCGGTCATGGAGTGCCCTTAGGAAACACATTTTTTATAATTGATGTGAAAACATCTTTAAAATATTCAATTTACTTTAAAAATGAAAAAGAGCTGGGTGTGGTGCACATGCCTGTAATCCCAGCACTTTGGGAGCCTGAAGTGAGAGAGGATCACTTGAGCCCAGGAGTTCAAGAATAGCCTGGGCAACGTAGTACAACCTCCATCTTTTAAAAATGAATGAATGGGCCAGGCTTGGTGGCTTGGCCTGTAACCCAAGCACTTTGGGAGACCGAGTGAGTGGATTGCCTGAACCCGTGGGTTCGAGACCCGCCTGGCCACTTGACGAGACCCCATCTTTACAACAAATCAAAAATGAGCCGGGCGTGGCAGCGCGCGCCTGTAGTTCCAGCTACTCGGAAGGCTGAGGCGGAAGGCTTGCCGAAGCCCAGCAGGTCGAGGCTGCGGTGGCCGGGAGCGGCCATCATGCTCCAGTCTGGGTGACAGAGCAAGACTCCAACTCAAAAAATAAAGGAATAAATAAAATAAAAATGAATGAACGCATGACACGTAGCTACACGACTGAGGGCTATCTTTTATAGCGTCTGTAAGAATAAAATTGCTTTGGCATGGAATTGCTTTGTCTTACATAAAGGAAAACATGACTTTTAAAGCATCAAATTGCAAACTGCCCCTAAATGATTGGAGGGTTACAGAAACACACATGGAAATGATGGCTGCGCAGGGAAAATCCAGACCTGCACGTGCTGGCAGTAAGGCCCTGCTCCGGCAGTAAGAGTGGAGCGAGGGGAGGCACCGGGCAGATGCGACTCATAAGGCTGACAAGGTGAAAGTGCATACGTGTTTGTTGGAGCAGAAAGAGAAAGGGAAGTGTTACGACAGCCATGTCCTGGCTGCTGTGTCCATGGTAGGAACATATTCTTCCTACCTTTCATGTGGCCCCAGTTCCTTGGGAGTCTCCCCCAGCACATTTTGTTCAGTGATGGGAGTTGGGAGGAAGAGCTGGGAGGAAAGAGCATCAGAAATGGTGGAAAGTAAGGGAGTGGAGAGGCCAGAGGAGAGGCCCAAGGAAGCAAGAGTGTGTTCTTAGACTGATTCGACATCCAAGTGTGCTGCTGGGTCTTCATCCTCCAGTACTTGACTGACCTCTCGTTTGGCACCGACCTAGAAGACCCTGCTCCCTGTGAGTGTGGAGATCTTTCTTCCCTCTCTCTCTCTCTTTCTCTGTGTGTGTGTCCCTCTGCACTTAAGGTAGGATAAACTAAAATGAATCTTGGGACAACTCATGATGGGAAAAGATGCATCCTCCTGCATCTGGGGTAATCTAAATACCGAAGGCCTCCTGAGAGGGAAAGAAAAGTTCTATTCTGACCTTGTGTGGGGTGGGACTCTGTCCTGGGTCTTAGGGCTTTCAGAAAACCAGAAACAAAATGTTGCTTTAAGAACCCCAAGTGACTGAAAGTCATGCTCTAAACCTCCCCCTTGACTTCTATCTTGAGGCACCAGCGCTAGACGGGGTATGTTGGCTAGACTTTGAGACACTTGCGTACTCCTCAGCCCTCATTCTATGAGTTCTCTCATGAGGACCTTTTAGAAAACAACAGTCTCATCCACTGACCTCCCTGTGATTACCATGCTGGAGTAGTTTCTGTTCTGTGGAGAAAGAAAGTGAGGCTCTGAACAGTTATCCAATTTATCCACGGTCATATGACTGACCCGTGTGTACCTCTCCCAAAGGTCCCACAGGTTTTCTACCACACCTCTCTCACTGCCTTAGAAACACTTATTTCTCCCTCCTTGGTGGGAAGTAGGTGACTTTGACTTGGGCGTTTGTAGTAAATATTCCACCTGGAGTGGGCCAAGACTAAAGACACCCCATGAAAGTCTCAGATCCTTCTCTCCAAGTGTTCCACCGACAGAGTTACCATTGGAAGTGTGGGGCCTGCAGATATTCCACCTCCAAATCCTCCGGATGGGAAAGTTGGGTCCTGGAGGAGTCTGGTATGGAGAGTGATCTCAGACAGTGCCCTGGGGTGAAACTGAGGTTGAAAACCAGGCTGAACGAGGAACCGTGGTGCCAGCTGACAAAGACCAGTCAGAGGCAGACCTGGGTGGGAGAAGAGGATGGAAACAGGGACCCCAGCCCAGTGGGAAATAGGGGATGGAACCTGACGAGGCACCTTGAGGTGTGGGATGTAGGCATGGACCAACCAGTGGTGTAGGAGGAGCTTGGCACAGGGCCTGCTTAGGGAACTTTCTTCCTAACATTATGCCTCAACCTTTTGTTCTGAAGCTGTCATGGACCAGCGCCCCATCAACTACTGTACAACCAGCCTCCATGACTGCGACATACCCCAACGGGCCCAGTGTGTCTACACGGGAGGTTCCTCCTACACCTGTTCCTGTCTGCCGGGATTCTCTGGGGATGGCCGAGCCTGCCAGGGTGCGTAGTTGCTGATTTTTCCCTCCGTGTGACCTGGAAAAGCTTCTAGGTGGTACTTATTGTGTTACCAACTCACCCCCGAATAAGAGAAAGAATTATTCTCTCAATTCTGCTGAGCAAATGGGCTGCTTTTAAAAAAAAACCTCTCTAGTAGTTTGAATATGCATTTTCTTATTTTTTTTTAGATTGGAAAATATTGTTCATTTTAAAACTAAATTAGAGAGAGAGCGAGAGAGAGGAAATTCACCTCCCCAAGGTAGGGGAGGAGACCAAAGCTAGGAAACATGACCTGGCCATAGCTCAAAGAGCGGATGGCCTCACCATAACTTAGCAAGGCAATGGCCTAAACTATGCATTTTCTTTTGGGGGCTGTTCTCCTTGGTGGAGACCTTTGGACTCCCCTGACTATTTTGTTCTGTGTGATTTGCTTATTCAAGCAGCAGTGGGCACCGACTGTCTGCTAGGAACTGAGAATATTGTCTGTCTTTCACAAAGAGACAAACAGTTTTGCACGCATGGAGCTTAAGGTCCAACCTTGTATTTAATAAGATGCATAGGCATTCAGCTGGCTTGCTCTAATCTTCTCCCAAAAAGCAAAATGCTGGCCGGGCCTGGTGGCTCACGTCTATAATCCCAGCACTTTGGGAGGCCGAGGTGAGAGGATTGCCTGAGCCCATAGGTTTGAGACCAGCCCAGGCAATTTGGCAAGGCCTCATATCTACAATAAAAATAAAAAAATTAGCCGGGCGTGGTGGCACATGCCTGTGGTTCCAGCTACTTGGAAGACTGAAAAGGAAGAATCACCTGAGCCCAGCAGGTCAAGGCTGTGGTGGCCGTGAGCATACCCCTGCACTCCAGCCTGGGTGACCCAGTGAGATTCCAACTCAGAAAAAAAGCAAAATGCCCTTATTGAATAAATGATTCCATAATCAGAGAATAAATGACTCTACAGGATTCTTGCAGGCTTCCAGAGTGCTCCAAAAAGGTAATTTTAGGGAAGATAATCCATGGACAGAGTTGTCTGAGTCTCTTGGTTTGCAAAATTACGTAATATTATACCATAGAGTATTTCTGAAAAGTCCAAACGTTCTAAGACAGATGATAATTTCTGAGATACTTTCTATTCATTACTGAACATGTGAATCTTTTTTGTCTCTAGAGTTTTTCTCTCAAGCAGTTAATAATCCATCTCCAAACAGGCATTTTTGAAGCTCTCATTTATGACAGGAGGGGTCACCTTATAATGCAAATGAGTCTTTTTTTTTCCTTTTACAATCTTGATAAAAACATTTTTCATGAAGACATTATCGTCAAAGTGAAGCACATCTGTAAGTACAAACAGACAGAAATTGGGGAGTTAGGGTCCTGATAACCATGAGTGAGTTTTAAATGACTGTTCCCAGATTAGAAGCAACTTCCCGTAGATTGAACAAGTGGCTTAAATTATGGTGTCAACGACGGATTCCAGAAGAAAGCTCATTGTCCTTGGGCCTGGTGGCTGTTTTACAGATGTGGATGAATGCCAGCCAAGCCGTTGTCACCCTGATGCCTTCTGCTACAACACCCCAGGTTCCTTCACATGCCAGTGCAAACCTGGCTATCAGGGAGACGGCTTCCGTTGCGTGCCTGGAGGTGAGTGGTGGGGCCTTTGGAGCTGGTAGCCCATTGCTATGTCCGTGAATACTGAGACGGTGGTCCTGGGAGAGAAGACAAGGCAAGGGAGTGGCAGGCTCCACAGAGCATTCTGAGGGTTGTCACGGTGGGAAGTCAGCATGGGTTGCAGTGCAGAGCCACGCAGGTTGTGCACTGCACACCTCCTGTGGGGTCCCCCACACGTGGGCCATCACTGTACTGGCAGCCTGGAGTCTCACCATCCCTGTGCCTTGAGCAAGCCAGGTAGGATAAGAACTGGTTCGTCAGGCCGGAGTCAGAATTCTCTAGAGAAACAGAACCAAGAGGAGGAAATTTTCTAACTATCTTTCTTTCAAGAATAAGAAATCAACTCACACAACAAGATCTCATAGCTGCAGTCAGCAAGCAGGAGATCCCCAAAAGCCAGTGGTTTCGTTCCAGTCCCAGTTTGAAGGCCTCAGAACCAGGAGAGCTGTTGGTATAGTTACGGTCTGAAGACCAGCAGGCCCACGGCCCAGGACGAGCCAATGTTTCAGTTCAGTTCAAGCCCAAAATCAGAGGGAAAAAATGGTGTTTCGGTTCGGAGGCCATCAGGCAGGAGATTTCTCTCTTTCACTCAGGGGAATGTTGGCCTATTCAGGCCTTCAACTGATTGGATGAGGCCCACCTACATTGGGGAGGACAATTTGCTTTACTCTGTCTACCAATTGGCATGTTAATCTCATCCAGACATATCCTCACAGAAACATCCAGAATAATGTTTGACCAAATGTCTGGGCATCTTGTGGCCCAGTCAAATTGGCACATAAAATTAACCAGCCTACGTTGCTAAGTCCTGGGGAAGAAAGTTGAGGTAAGGATTGGGGGACAGAGGTGAGTGCCTGAGTTGGGGGAAGATGCAGACTGAGGGCTCTACAGAATGGCCTGTAATACCTGTTATACCTGACCTGAGCTGTTCATTTTCTAGAGTTGTTGCTGACCTGAGACCAGTGATGTCTCATTAGAGCATAAGGATGATGACAGCTCCAGGCTGGTCCCTGGCATGAATCTGACAGTTGAATGTGACATTCAACACATGCTGTTGAATGAATTAGTACCATTGGCTGCTGTTTTTGCAAAGCCTACTGTGTGCTCGGTGCTTAATAGACACTATTTCGGCTGGACTCGGTGGCTCAGCCTGTCATCCCAGCACTTTGGGAGGCCGAGGCGAGTGGACTTCCTGAGCCTACAGGTTCGAGACCCGTCTGGGCAACTTGGCGAGACCTCGTCTCTACAATAAATAAAAAAATTAGCCGGGCGTGGTAGCATGCTCCTGTAGTTCTGGCTACTTGGAAGGCTGAGGCGGAAGGATCGCCGGAGCCCAGCAGGTCGATGCTGGGGTGGCTGTGAGTGTGCCATGGCATTCCAGCTGAGTGATGGGGTGAGACTTCAATTAAAAAAATAGACACTATTTCACAATTTTCATGGTTTCAGCATTCATTATTGTCCTTTTAAGGTAAATACTATTATTGTCTCCATTTATGCAGAGGATTCTGAAACTGAAAAAGAGAAAGGCACAACCAAGGTCACCCATGTCACAAATGCTAGAACTAAGACTCAACCCCAGGTCTGTCAAGCGAACTCCAAATCTGGATTCAGTCTTCTAAACCACATGATCTCCTGACATGAGATTAAAAGTATATTTGACACCTCAGACTGGAGTTAGCCTGTCATGATATTTATTTATTTATTTATTTTTTTGAGTTGGAGTCTCACTCTGTCACCCAGACTGGAGTGCGGTGGC